TTGGTTCTCAATCCAAGGATTGAAGCTCACATTTTAGCTATCAGCCAGCTTATCTGTGCCACAGCTACTCAACAAATAACAGTCTTCTGATTGTTATAAAGCAACTCAGTCTAAATTACTTTCTTGTGGTATCCCAGAATCTGGCAATAAAAGTAGCAGCGAAGGCTCACAGAATATGAAAAGACTGGACTTTAGAAAGCATTCTGCATCCGTTTACCAGTCAGAAACAATTTCTGTGCTACACGTTAAGCCCCGTCCACCCTGTCTGGGTGCTGGAGTGTTCTCTGCTGCTCTCCAGCCTCCGCACAGGCGGCCCCAGCAGTTCTGCTCTGTGGATTTGGGTGGCCAGGTTTTATTATGAATAGACTGTACAGTTGGGTACTGGACAGACTTATGTAGGCTGTGCAATCCTGTGAGAGGCCAGGCTGGCAGGCCTGGTGGTGGATGCCCTGGGGCCCTTAGGCCAGCGGACCAGGCACCTCCCCTTGATAGGGCCTTGTCGATGCCGGTTTGAGACATAGCTGAGGGCAGAGCAAATGACTCAGGGCACCTCCTTGTTTAAGGATTTGCAAATGAACTGCAAAGCATCTGCTATTTAGTTTTTTTGAGGTTTTGTTTTAAATGAGCTTCTTACTAAATATTTCATTAAAAGTTTTGTTAAATTTATAAACATTTGGAGTCTAGATAACTGTACTTTTGTTTATTGATATCAAACAGCACTAGAAATTTGGTAGAACAGTGAATTCTTAGAGCTTGTGACTGTCTTCCCTCCCTGTAGCAGGGGCGCACTCATCAAATTTTATTTATTTTAATTACTGACACTTCAGAACCGAGGGCCCGCTTTTGGAGCCCTCATCTGGACCAAGGAAAGGCTGCCTCGGCCCCAATAGTTGGCAGGGCACTGCTGTTCCCCGCAGGCCAAGCTCAGCCCTGTTGGGATGGTGGCCGTCGGATGGCCCTGCATGCTGTTTAAACCTGGCACTGCCCTGGGCTGCAGCTCAGAGGGAGCGCTTACCTGGCATGCTCAAAGCCCTGGGTTCAATCCCAAGCACCACAAAAATAGATGTGCCAGACAGGCAGCAGGCAAGCTGAAGGCTGGTTTCAACGGTCTAACACCTGATGTGGAAGGCCATTCTTTGACCCACCTGTGAAACCGCAGGCAGGTGAGGCCAGAGGGTATCAGTCTCAGGGAAGCCAAGCCGGACCTCTGCTGCTGGACCCGTGGAGCATGTCTGGGACCTGTCACTCAGCTGCTTTGGGGGACCCACTGTTGACAGCAGCTCCCTGCCTGGTCACCTCCACCCTGGTTTCTGCTCCTCCTCTCTCCTGGACAGCTTGTTGCTTGCCCTGGGCCTCCTTACTTCATGCCTACAGCTGAGCGGCTGCATCTCATTCACCTCTTTGTCCCTGTTGGCTGAATGTAAAAATCTGTCCAGTAGATGAGTAAGAAACAAGATGAAATAAGTTTTTTTTTAAATAAAAAAAAAAAAAGGAACATTTGAGAAATGTGCTGTCTACTACACTTGATCTTAGCCAAAGGCTGAGAAGTGATTGAAATGTGCTGTCTACATATTGAAGGAGTTTTAATTCTGGAACTTTCCTGTAAGTGGAGATATCGGGACAGATGAGCATGTGCCAGCAAAGGAGAACTAGAGTGGGGATTGCAGTCTTTCTTCATTCTCACTTGGTGGAACTGAAAGAACAGAAAAAGACTTCTAACTGTATTAAAAGGTCAGGAACCTGGGGCTGGCTGTGCTGGTGTTCTCCTCAGTGTGCATTACCTGTTTGTGACTGGGCCGTAATTCGCATGTCTTGCTGCAGGCGGCTTGGGCCACCATTGCTGCAAGCTGGCAGGATCTTGCTCAGCTGAAGTATGCCCCTGGTGGTGTCTGCCCAGCAGTGCAAAGATGCAGCTGCCCTGCAACACACCTGGTCTGCAGTGTGAGGATGCGATTCCCCTGGGTGACCCAGCCTGTGCTATGGGTAATGAGGCCCCCTGGAGGGCCCTGGGACCTTCAGGGCAGGGTTGATGCTCCCCACGGGCACAGGTTGCACAGCTGGGCCTGTGCCCCACCTGCTTCTGTGGCCACCCTATCTGGGGGAGAGCAGACATGGACTGGTTTGCCCAGAGGCTTAGAAGGGCTGAAGGGCCTCCCCTCTGGCTAAAGGGCTGCCATTACTGTGGATGTTACCATTGTTGCTTTTGTCACCATTCCCATTGTGCAGCCTGACCCTCTCCCAGCTCTCAGAAGTGCTGGGTGGTTGCATTAGAAAAGCCAACCACTTTGTCAGTGTAAAGGTGGGGAGCTCCTTGTTTCGTTTTTCATTTCTTTGAGCAGAAGGTGAGCTCGAGTTCATTGCATGCACCTACTGGGCCGGCTTGCATTGCTGCCTTTCCTGTTACTCTTCCATGGCTTTTGCTCACCATCTCCTGTCGCCTGGTGCTTCCTTTGTTACTGGCTCTCAAGGTGCTGCTTCGTATGTTTACAGGGTTGACCCGCTGCAAGGGATGTGCCTTTGTTCAGAATTAGCCTGTGCCTCTCAGGAGCCCCGGAAGTGTCTGGAATGATTCCACAGAGCACAAGACCTGCAGTGTGTCCCCCACCACCACCCAGGAGTCCACTTGAAGGTGGCGAGATGTCAGGCTGTGCTGCTATGAGTAGTGTCCTTGTTGACTGGCACCTGGGAAGCAGAGCCCCAGTGTTGCATGTTGACCTGCTCGGGGTTTCATCCTGGTCCCTCCCATGCACTCTACGTCTACAGGGCTCTGACAGAAACACAGGCTGGGCCCTAGCTGCTCTTCTGAAGCATGGTGACTTATGTGCTCAGATCCCGGGTGGCTGCAGACCACTCCCTGCCTGTGCTCTCTCAGCTGAGCTCTTTTCTGGGGTTCCAGGTTGAGCTGGGCCAGGTCCTACTTTGGCCCACTGGACCCTTTTTCCATGGGACCTCTGCTGGCTGACCTTTGTACTTCCACTATCACATAACTGGAGTAGGACTGTGCTGTGCAGAACTCAGAAGTGTATGTAACTAGAAAATTCCATTTGTGAATAACGCTGGATTCCTTGAATGTGTGATAAAAGCTAGCCAGGAAAGTAGTTTCTCTAATGATATTAATAATAGATTAGCAATTTGTCAGAATATCCACAGACTCTCTTAGCACCAAGATCTATTTAGGTGTATTAGAGTGAAACTTGGAGAAGATAGTAGCATGAGTGAATGAATGAAAATCCCACACCAGAACGAGAAGGGTAGACTGAAAGTGAGTTTTTAATCAGACTTCTGTGGGGGCAGGCTTTACTGGGAAGGAACCCAGGGCCCTGCCCATGCCAGGCACACGGCGTGCCACTGAGCCACACCCAAGCCCTGAAAGTGACTGTTTATCATACCCTTAAAAAGAAGACGAACTTCAAAGAAATGGTGAAAGTCACAAAGGAAAAGCTGGAATAGGCTTCATGAAAACAGGCATACAAGCATCAGGACACCCAGATTTTAAAAGGAAATCAGAGATACCTAGGATATCAAGGGCCATGGCTCCCTCCCATGACCTCAGCCTGAGCTCACTTCAGCCTTACCTGACTACCTCTGCACCCTCCACCAGCAGTGGGGACGCAAATCTGTGTCTCTCCATGCAGTGCTCAATGTGCCAGAGCTGGACATACTAGGCACTCAGCAAATGTATTATTATGAAAAATGTCACGCAACTCAAATGGATGAGCCAGGGATTTCGCTCAGTGGTGCATCGCCTGCCTTACAAGCGCAAGGTCCTGAGTTTGATCCCTGGTACAAAAAAAAAGAAGTAGGTCAGATGAATGAAACCTGTGCACACAGTGCTGCCACCTGGCCACTGCCACTTAGCATGGAAGCACCGCCATGCATTTGGCCAGGACATAAAGTACATCACGGGACAGAAATGGTTATCGAGGACACTCCCCCCATGCGGCCAGGCCTCTCCATGTGGAGAGTGGGGACCCAATGTTAGGGAGCAGGGCATCTGCCCCTGTGCTCCATGGAGGGGAGACGAGTCTGCCAGTGGACAGTTACTTTGGAAAGCAATTTAGCGAGATGTCCAGGGCTGTTGTAAGTTTGTGAGACAGAGCCATTCTGCTGAGTAGCTCTGAATGGACAATGCCATCTGCTCCTAAGTGTCCATTGCGACATGGCTTGTGATGGCAGCCAGGACCCCCCAGGCAGGGCACGTTTTTGTGCGACCGCGTGTTCCCTCACCACGTGAGGTGCTGCAGGCTTTAAGGGCACTGTTGAGTACTGTGCAGCGCCAGGGGAGACACTGAGGCACTCTGCAGTAGCAGGTGGGCGCAGACAGGCCATGTGGCCTGGTGCAGCTCTGGAGCTCATTCTAGTATACTGCCCAGTCTTTCACCCTGGGTAAGTTTGGGTCTTTTGTTCTGTTTTTCAAATTGCTGGTTTTCTTTAATGGAGCTTCCAACAGCAGTCACCGCCACGAGAATACCCCAGAGCATGTGGCTGCTTTCCGTCTTTCTGCACAGTGGGATCCTCTCTCTTGTGCATGTGGTGTCAGGCCAGAGAGAATGGGCTGCCCTTTGGCCCTGAGAAAGCAACACTGTTGTATCGACCACATGGCGGGAGCCGGTGACCAGCCTCTTCATGGCTTGGCTTCGTCCCTCTGTGTTGCTGTGGAGGGACACTGTGTCTGTGCACAGCCTTCTCTTCCACAGTCTTCTTCTCAGGCAGCAATGGGAATGGGACCCCTGTGCTTCCTGTAAGGGTGTCAGGCTGCCTTTGGGCCTGGGTTTGTGTTAGCTGACAGCAAGTCCTTCCTGGGATTCAGTCTGCATCTCAAATAGGCAGCGATTGTGCAGCCTCTGCTGGGAAGAAGGCCTCTCAGTCAGGCTGCTCTCCGCCCCAACAATGACCTTCACAGCCTGCTGCTGCCATGCTAGTCCTACAGCTGGCACATAGAGTGTCCTCCAGTTCCCCTCTGCCTCCCTGGATCTCACCCCTCTGCTTTCGCTCTCCAGGTGCCGTGGCCAGCACAGAAGTGAAAATGAAGCTACAGGAGTTCGTCCTCAACAAGAAGAAGGCCCTGGCCCACCGGAACCTGAACCAGTGCATTTCCAGTGACCCCCGCTTCTGGTACGGGTAAGTGGCCAGGGCCACTGGGGCCTGCTCGGGTCCAACACAACACATGCCCATGGCAGGTCTGCGTGGGCCCACTGCTTACCTGGCAAGGCAGGGTGGGCAGGGACAGATGGAAACCCCAAAGCACTGTAGCTACCGTGGACCTGGTGGGGAGGACTGGTGCTGACACATGTGATGGCATCATCCACATGGGGAGGCTGACAGATCACCCAGTGCACCTCCTGGGTGGTCCCTGATCATTGTTCTTAGCTTTGGTGCCATCTTTCAGCTTCGCAAGGAGCCACTCACACAAGAAGCCTGAGCAGTCCGTCTACATCTACTGAATTCCTACCAAGTGTTTTAGCTATTGCCAGGCTATAGTCAGTAAGCACCTTGAGTTTTTACTGTTTTTATACTAAGGCCCTTCCAGAGCCTTCACAGGGAGCAGACACTACTGGAGAGCCGTGTTTGTGAAAGCTGAAGAAAACCACGGGTCCACATGTCTCTGAAGGCCTTGTCTGCAGGGCAGGGGACAGCAAGGTGGCATCCTCCAGTTACCGCAGAGCAGATTGTTGCAGTTTTCCACAGCACTCGAGGGTCATGTGGTAACTGGAAAGACAACCATAGAGCCATTTTCATAAATCAAAGTATAATCAGCAATTTCTTTGGGAAAGTTTTAGCTGTTCTAAGAGCCTCAAAATGTACAATTCCTGGTACTAAAATGCCAAGCACATCCCATTGAAGCCATCTGTCTGTTTCCATGGATGCCCTCTGCCAGCATTGGATACCCTGAGATGCATTCCCATAACCAGGCCGTGCATCGAGCTTCAAAGCTGCATGTCCTGCCAGGCCACAGAACAGCCTTGCTGTTTGTGTAACCACCAGTGACACAAAACCTTGTGGGGACAACAGCTCCCAAGAGTCACCAGCGGTCAGCACCTTTGGCCCCTCACACCTGTGATGTGATCCACAGCCTATGACTGGAGACTCTCAGCCGCGGGCTTTGCTGTGGGAAGGCTCCATGGTCATCCTGGTGGGTGGTGTCAGTCAGAGGTGGCAGAGGAGAGCAGTTGAGATGCTTATTTGGTGATGTGGCCACAGAGCTCAGACTAGAAAAGGTAGGGTGGGCCCAGGATGGGGAGATATCGACACCTGGGGACTGGAGGCTGTGGGATGACCAGAAGGAGAAGCACTGCTAGATCTGCCTGGGGACCAGTGAGGGGCAGAAGTGTTGGGAACTCAGCAGCAGCATCAGGGGCAGCAGGAAGAGCCCTTTCAGAGGAGGAACTGTGAGCAGATGGCTGGCTCAGCATGTCTGCACAGCCAGAATAAGACGTATGGCTTGAGGAGGCACTGAAGTCACAGTCCCTGGAGGACAGCCTCGCTGGTATGAGAAGATGAGGTCAGAAGGGCTGGTAGAGCAGAGGCCCTGGGGACGGGCTGTGTGTGAGGGCAGGATGTAGCCAAGTGGTAGGGAGAACGCCTCCTGGCACAGGCCCGTCAGGGGGCTTGGGCATCTGCTAGGCTCCCAGAGGTGGGAGGGGCTTTAGGCAGGAGGGCTGGGCTCAGGCTGCCTGGGAGAAGGAAGAAGCAGGGACTATGTTCAAGAAACCCCACTGAGCAGGCGCCCCGGGAGTTGGCCCTGTTTCTCCACTTTCCTGGCCAGGGAGGCTTGCCATCTCCTTCAGGGGGGTTTGGGAGGTAAAAGAACATGACGTTAAGTATGTTAGCCAGGAGACAAACTTGTTTTCACTAGGTTGCCTATTTTGTCATGGTTGGCACATGTACCTGCTGCCCACAGTGAGCAGTGTTCAGGAGGCAGGTTTCTAAAGGAGAGTTGAGCTGTGGTCCCCACGCCACGCCACCACAGTCAGGTCAGAGCTACTTAGATCTAAGCATGAGTATCAAACCAGTAAACCGTCCAAGAGACATGGGACACTGGCAACCTCAGCGGAGAGGTAAGCGGAGGTTTCTTGGGACGCCAAGAGCATTGACATATTAGACTTCATCAAAATTGAAAGCTGTACTCTTTGAAAGTTGCCTTGAAAAAAATAAAAATGCATGTGACAGAGTGGAAGGAGACAGTCACAGATCCTACATCTGACAAACCGCTGTGGAGCACCTACAACTCGGTAATAAAAAGATGAGCCGCCCGCCACCAAAAACACAGGCAAAGATAGCGATAGGTACTTCTTAAAGAAGTACTTCATAAAGGTATGTGGCCAGCCAGGGAGCCTGTGGAGAGGCAGGTGTGTAGCCCCGCACTGCATCAGGACGCCCTGGAGGAGCACTAAGGGCTGGCTCAGCTTCCAACAGGCGGTCGCCACACTCACAGGGGTTTTCAGGGAGGAGTTGGGTCACTTGTAAAGGTAAATTCCACCTCTGAGGCCCGGCAGTGCACCTGCTACACTCACATCAGTGCACCAGCAGGGAAAAGGACCCATCCCCGCGCTTGCTCCCAGAAGGAGGCCAGGCACAGAGACTCCCCTCGCAGCCCCAGCTGGAATGAGAGTGACAGAGTCAGGCTGGAAAGGTCTCCAGGGCACGGGATGGGCAGGTATCCATGTTTCCAGCCTTCGGTCGCCTCATGGCTAGTCCATGTGCCCCTGAGTGCAAGGGATGGCAGGTCCACAGGGAGGTGTGCTGGACATGGGCGGGTCTCAGGCAGCAGTATGGAAAAGGATACCGATAGTAAGTTTTATATTGATTCCAGATGGAAATCATATTTTTACCTATTGGGTTATACAGAATACTGAATTGATTTCGATTTTACCCATTTCTTTTGATTCATTTTAATGTGGCCACTAGAAAATTCTAAATTACATGTGTAGCTCGCAGTGTATTTTTGTCAGACTGTGCTATTATACTCCATAAAGAGTTTTATTTTAGATCACTGGTATAAATCTGGTATATTGGCAAAGGCCAATTGTTGATAGAATTCAAATGCTTAAATTTGTTGTTTTGTTCTATAATCAAGGTAGTGTTTAGAAAGAAAACAAAAGTGTTTTCTGTGTCCATTAAAACAAGGATTGCTTTCTTTACTTGCTTATCACCACACTGGGGATGGAACCCAGGGCCTCAGGCACATGAGGCCAATGTACCCCTGTGAGCTGCGCCCTAGATAAAACTAGCGCTGCCACAGCTTTCTGCCCTGGCTCCTTTGTCCCCACCCCAGGCTGGAGAGTGGCGCCAACTCCTGGTCAGGGTGGCCTGCAGGTCCTCCTGCACGCATGAAGTGTGGCTGGTATCTGCAAGCCTGTGTGTCCCATGCTGTGTGTGTGTGCGTGTGTGTGTGTGTGTGTGAAAGAGATGTGTGGAGTGTGAGTTTTATGAGCTTGTATGTGAGGGGAGCCTGAGTGGGAAGAGCATGGGTGTGGTATTCAGGTGTGTGGTATGTGTGATCAGGTGTGGGGTGGAGGTGGGTTTGCTGCTGCTTATCCTGGACGCTCCTATGGGGAGGGTCATGTGCCGGTGCTGGTCCCTGCCACCACTGTGCCCAGTGAGGAAGCTGCTTCTGGCAGGTGGGGCTGCAGGTCTGGCATGGGGTAGGCTGGGTGCCAGGCAGGCTGTGTGGTGCTGCCGAACATTTGGGTGCATCTTCAGGCTGCACGGTGGGCTTTTACTGCTGACAGCTCCTCCATGTATCAGTCCAGCCGGAGTGGGTCAGATCTCTTAATTTGAGGATGCTCATACAGAGGCATCCATTCTGTGCTCCGCCTGGAGTGGAAGTGAGGGCAAAGGGCCCAGGGTATCTCAGGACACGAGGGTGCACCTATGTGTCTGTGTCCCCAGCCCCAGCTGTGGCCCAGAATCTGGAGGGCTCTTGGGAGAAGAGCAGAGTTGTCCTGTGGGTGGTGGGAGCGGCAGAGCCTCAGGGGCTCAGTATCTCCTGAGGATGCAGCCCCAGCCAGGGACATTCGGCTGCCGCGTCGCTCCAGTTCTTTACACCGCGCACACTCAGATTTCAGTGTGCACCTGTGCGTGTTTAAGAGCTGCTGCTCTTGATTCAGATGATCCAGGTGTGTGGATGTGGAGTGCTGCATATTCGGATAAATAAACTAGCAAATTCCAAATAAGAAAGTTGGCAAATTTGTTTCCAGTCATTAAGTGGATTACACAGTTTAAAGACCCACAGAACATACTCAGCCAGCAAGTGTCTGCGAAGCATTGCTGATGGCTCTCTTGGGGGGGCCTCTGTGTCCACACTGATCCCCAAGGCTGGGCTCCTCACTCTTCCTCCCTGCTAGCCACAGCAGGGACTTTGAGTCGCGTCGGTGGCTCTGAAGGAACCCTTCACAGAGCCACTCAGGGTGGAAGGCTGCTGCGGAGCTGTCCCTCCTCCAGGTGGAGACGGCTGGGGTGATTCGTCCTGGCGAGGGCACCAGTGGTGGGTGTTTCTGCTGAACAGAAGTCTCCAAGGGCTTCCGCTCTTGGAAAGGCAGAGTCCCAGGCCTTCCTCACCCTATGTCAGCTGGATTTCTTACCCCTTGAATGCACCTTGCACTGCATGCCTCTGAGCCCACTCGTGCACGCTGAGGATAGACCCCTGTGTGACCAGTGGTGACCCTCGTGGGGAGCAGAGCGGCTGGGGGCCTGTTGGTGCCTTGCCCGAGTGTCAGAATCTGGTTTTATTTTCAGCTTGCCCTGGGGATTGGCAGCGGGCTGGTGTTCCAGGCACTGCCCACAAACTCTGGTGACACCAGGGCACACTGATGCCCATCTTCTCTTCTGCAGGAAGACACAGCACAGCTCCCTGGACCAGAGCTCTCCCCCACAGAGCGGGGTGTCAGCCTCCTACAACCACCCGGTCCTGGGGATGTACGATGCCAAAGATGACTTTCCTCTGAGGAAAACAGGTCAGTGCAGAGCTCTGCTGCCCCAGGACACCCAACACTGGCACCTTCCCCAGCTTAGGCAGCGGTGTGTCGCTTAGCAAGGGCCCCTCTGCAGGTTAGCAGTGGGGCTTCTATCACAGCAGTGTCATTTTGAAAAGATATCCCGGAGCTCTCCCATAGCATGTATACCAGAAGAAATGGTACACGCGTGTGTGTTTGTCTAAACCCAGCTCCTCTGTGGAGACCCTACTTCTGTTCCCTTCTGGGACATGCAGTGCCTGGCCATGCCCTGAGCGGCCCTGGCGATCACCAGAGTCAAGCACTTCCCGTTCCTGACTGTTCGGCAAGCAAGCAAGCACCCAGCCCTCTGTGCTGGCCCTGAGCAGTGCCCGAGGAGGCAGCAGTCAGGATGCCCAGAGCAGGACAAGCACTGGGAGAGAGCTCAGGGGCCTCAGCATGGCAGCTCTTGTGAGCAAAACAGAAGAGCTGAGGTGCCATGGGATGCCTGCCTTCTCCATTGGGTGACAGGCCAGGTGCTCTGGGTCCACTCCAGGTGAGGATCAGGGTGGCAAGAAGGGTAGGGCCCTCACCGTGGTGTAGCAAGTGCAGCCTGGGAACCAGGGCAGGTGGGACATTCCGGGCGTCCTCATGGGCTACACCTCTTGTCGGCAACTGAGGCAGTCATCTCACAGCAGCTTCTTACTGGAGTGTGAACCATGCAGGGAGACTGCAGGACCATTGGGCACAGCACCAACTTGACCTCATGTGAAGGGATGTGCAGGTGTGGCCATGCTGGGCCGGTGATGCCTGTGGAGCGGGGTCTCCAGAGATGAACGAGGCATAGTAGTACACACTTGTAATCCCAGAACTTGGGAGGCTGAGGCAGGAGGATCACTGAGAGTTCAAGGCCAGCCTGAGTTACATAGTGAATTTGAGGTCAGTCTGACCTACACAGCGAGACCCTGTCTCAAATAAAGTCATGGGAGCAGAGGGTGTGCCAGGTGAGAGCTTGCTGTCACGCAGAGCAGTTAGCTCTCGCCAAGGGACAGGCCTGCTTGGTCACCCACCATTTCTGCCCACAGCAGTCCCCAGAGCTCCCCACAGCCCACAGTGGAACAGCAGGGCAGGGACTGGTGGCTCTCGTTCCTTGTCCTCCCTCACACACCCCAGGTGGCTCCACTGGGGTGGTACCTTCGTGTTCTGAGAGAAGAAGCTGCCAGCAAGGGTACTCTGTAGAGGCACCCTGGAGCACTGTCAGGACAGGTGGCAGCGTCCCCCAATGCCACCACACCGCCTGGGACTGTGGTGCAAGGTCCCTGCCCTTCTGTTCTGAGCTGGTCATGGGGACAGGGAGTGCAGTCCAGTGCCAGCTATGTCTGTAACCTTGGGCTGCAGCATCCCAGAGCCTGGCCCCAGAAAGCCCTCTCTCCTGTGCAGAGGGCCTCGATTAGGGTTACATTACCGCTTTTCAAAGGCATTGCTGCCCGTTAGCAGCATTAACCACAGAAGGGTTTCAGGGGTTCTTACCACCTCAAGCAGTGTGCAGAGGGGCCCTGATCACCCTGGATTAGCTTCTCTCACGTGCTGGGCCTTGCTGGTGCTGACATCCAGCCCTCCATCTCTCAAGACTCCAGTAAATGAGATTCTGCCCCAGAGAACCGTGACAGAATTCAGATGGTCATCCATATGGATTGGCACGTCCTGCACCTGAAGAATTACGTGACTGCCTACATACATCGGCTGGGCACACAGTTTGCCCACACCTTGATCTGTAAAGAGCAGGGATGTGTATTACGTGTGCTGAATGCAAAGTGTCGTTCTGATGCTGACTTCTTTAGCATGCTGTGCATTTTTTACATGTGCCTCGGTAGGTGCCCTGAGTGACATTCACACCTGTGCACTCTCAAGGGAGCATCTTATTTCCCTCAGGAAAACAACACAAAACTTGTCTGAGCATCTTGTTACATGCTGGGTACCTCCATGGCTGTGGCCCACATGGTCAGCCCAGCCACACGGCCTGGGTTCATCCCCCTCTGCATGTACACCTGCCCACCCTGCCCCTGCAGAAGCACCTGTGAAGCAGCTTTTGACTGCCTTGATGTAGGAGAACCCTAAGATCGGAGCTCCCAAGTAGCTGCTGCTCTCACTGGGACAGGAGCGTGTCCACCTCACCTGCACTGCCCAGGTGGTGGCCCAATTGGTCCTGGCCGTGGTGGTGGTGGTAACACCCTGAGCCTCATGTGTTTTCTGACTCCCCCTGGAGTACAAGCAGCTGCCACAGAGAGAGCACGGCACATAGTAGGCCATTTCCTTGCCTCGTTGTCATTGTGATGTTCTTTATGTGTTGCTCCCAATCTCTGTCAGGGTTGTGTGTCAGTCTTCAGTTTGTGTTGTTAGAACCATCCTTGTATTTTCTTCACACACATAGCGGATAAACTAAATCATAGAACACTCCACTATGTATAGGATAGAAAGACCACATACTGCACCCAGTCCTACCTTACTGTGACAAACATGTTCTCAGCTGACGCACAGATGCATCTTGGTTCCTTTCTTACAGACCATTTCCTGAAGTAGATCATGCTTTTGCCTTTCCTTGTTTTGTTTCTGCTAGTAAACCAGGCCCATCTTTGGGCAGCCCCAGGAGACTTCTCCTCAGATTCAGGGGACCTGGCTCCTGGCTCCTGTCCTGCCTGGACAGCCTACCCTCCAGCCCTGCCTGCACTCACCAGGGCTCTGCCTCTCAGCCTCTCCTCCATCTCTGCCAGTCCACAGCACTTGTTCTTCTCCTCCTCTCTCCCCTTCCAGTAGCTCTCCAAGAAAACTGCAGGAGTGTGGGACTTCGCAGTTTCTGTGTGCTGCTTGCCTCTGTTCTGGCACACACTTGAGTCTGCCATTGGCCAGCATGGAAGTCCTCACCCTGCAGGGTCTCAGTTCACACTGTCATTAACGAGGCTGGAGAAGAATCCTGAGCCATGCTCAATGCTGACCCTTAGCCCCAGAGCTCTGGGCATTGCAGGCCTCCCACGAGGCTCTCTGGGTCCTCGTCTCCTGGGCCATGTGAGTCCTTTGGCACTGACTTCTCCATCCAAGAGAGGAGTACATCTTAAATTGTTCTGCATGTGATTTCCCTTCTCAGTTTTCTCCTGGTGCTCTTATCAATTTTATGTTACATCTGTCCCACTTTTCATCTTTTCATTCTTCCTCTCTCCCCTTTTCTTCATCCCTCCTTTCAGGGCTTCCTTTCTTCCTGCCAAAGCAGTCTTCTCTCCCACAGCTCTGTCCACCAGCCACTGACCCTGGCAATGCCTGAGCATTTTTCATTTTTCCATCCTTGCTGGCTGCTGTCCATGGCCTCGACCCACAAAGCAAGGGCACTTAGAGAGAACCATTGCTTGCTCCTGCTGCTGGGCATGCGTGTGTCCCTTCTCAATGTCCCACCATGAAGAGCATTCCAATGCAGGCACTGGTGTCACCCTGTGAGTGACTCTCAGAACTGAGGTGGGGGGGGTGTCCAGGACTGCTGGTTCGGGACAGGCCTGCATCTCTTGGGATTGCTTCCTGCAGACCTACCCTGGCCAGCACTGAGGCTATGATCAGAATGCTCCTTCTGCCTTCACTTGTGATTTACCTCAGAGGGTCACCTGTGAGGAGCAACATCCCTGTCCGCTGCCTGCCCCCACAGTCAGTGCCCTTCTGACGACACTGCTGACCTGCAGCCTGCCAGGAGTCTCAGCACAGCTTCAGGGCCCTCCACTGAGCCCATATAGCCCTGTGTGCCCACCTCACTGTGGCCAGGTGGCTGCTCTGCCCTAAACTTCTGCCTCCTGGCTGGATTGGGAGTTTTGGGAGATAGGCACATGAGAGTAGTGAAGACTGCGGGTCACCATGGCTCAGTTGGGCTCAGCTCGGAGATTGGAGACATGGGAACAGGAGGTGACTGAAGAACAGGCTCTTCCAGAACAGAGCCCATGAACATTGGTCCCTCCCTGCAGCACAGCACCTCCCAGCAAGGCCTCCCCATGCCATGTGCTGTGTGCCCGGATGCACTTTGCTTTTGCCAGGGCCAGCATAGGCTTCCCTTCTCCCCCAGGGCTTCACTGCCCCCCTGCCACCTGCCTGCTGTACAGCCCCTCCCAACCCTGAGTTAGGTCCTGTGTCTAGTGGATTCCACAGGGTCCTTGAGAGCCACACAGGACACTCTTGGCCCCTGGCAATGTCATGTGGTAACCCAAGCCTGCTGGTGGGCTGCAACCATCCTGCAGGCAGAGTGTGGTAGGGAGGAGGCGGGTAGGGAGGTGGCCAGTCCTGTAGAGTCAGAAGTCACCAGGCATATGGGAAGCTTGGCAGTGGCTATGGGAAGACAGGAGAGGGACACAGTCCCACTCATCCAAATACCTGGTCAGAGGTAGGGCCTTGAAATGACCTCCAGACTGACCCTCAGACCTGCAGGACCTGGGGAGGCTGGGTGCCAGTCTACAGCAGCACAGCCAGTTTTATTGCTGTTACACACTGTCCCCTGATGGTGTGTGCAGAAAGGGCAGCACCTGTGAGGAGACCTCCCACACAGGGCCACAGACCACTATGCTCCATGTCTCAGGCTACTTCTCCCACGGTCCCCAGCTTTTGTCCCCAGGCCTGCTGGGAGCTAAAGAAGCTCTACTGTACTTCAGTTGAGCTGTCAGTGGCGGAAAAAGAGGCGTTTCCTAGCCTAGTGGCCAGGCAGGTTTTTTGTTTTGTTTTCATTTTTATATTAAAAATGTGGCATAAACATGGGAACAGAATGTGTAAGCCTGTGCTTAGCTCAGAACACAGACTGAAAGAAGGCCCTCTAGCCGAGGAGAAGGCAGTTTTGTCACTAAATCCTTTCTCTGCTGTCACACAAGTCTCGGAGGTGAATTGGCACTTGCTTGTACACAGACACTGTGAGGAGCAGGCCCTGCCCTAGGCGAGTGCCTCCCAGAGCAGGCTGGGGATCTCAAGGAGCCTGACACCCCGAGAACACAGCTTGCTTTCTCTGGACATTGAATTTTGGAAACCTGCTTCACCCAGCTCCTAAGGCACCTGGAAAACCCCAGAGGCTGCATACCTCCTTTCTGGTGCAGGAGGTTCGGCTGCTCACATGGCCCAGAGCGGGAGGCGCTCCCAAGGGTGGAGTCCTCCTGTCCCACTTTTTAGAGCCTGACCCTTAGTACTAATTCTAGAGGATGGTCCATCCGGATGTGGGGAACGTGTTTGCTGAGAGACCTGAGAGCAGTGGAGGTGCTAAGTGGGAAGAGGAGGTGGTGGATCACCATGTGGGGAACTTGGAAGGAGGCTAGGGAGACCCCCAGAGGCTTGTGGCAGCAGTCCTGACAGCTGACTGTTTCCCAACCTCCCATCCGCCCAGTGGCCCACACTGCTGCTGTGTTCCTCAGATGTCAGAGCGTCACTGCTGTGAAGACAGCAGCAACTTGTTCAGGGGAACACTGTAAGAGACGTTGCTGTTGAGTGGCCATCACACTGTCCTGTTTCCTGCCCTGTCCAGGAAGTGGCCGTGGCCTTGTTCCCATCTGTAGTTAGGTGAAGCATGGTGATGGCATCACTCTGCCACAACCTCAGAAATACAGCTCCCTCTGGGCAAACAGGCAGAGCCGCCTCTGCTCCTGGTGGAAGTGGTCCTCACTATGTGTCCTCACCTGCCAGGATGTAACCATGTTTCCTTTTGTCAGCTTCTGAACCCAACCTGAAGTTACGGTCCCGGCTTAAGCAGAAAGTGGCAGAGAGACGGAGCAGCCCCCTGTTGCGCAGGAAGGATGGGCCCGTGGTTACTGCCCTCAAAAAGCGGCCCCTGGATGTCACAGGTATGTTGGGCCTCCAAAACCCTACCTTGCACTTGGTCAGCCCACGGCATTGTTGTTGAGTGGTGCTCTACTCATCAGGTCAGCTGGCGAGCATCGGGGACTCAGGGTACCCGGCAAGAGCCTGGGCAGGGTGTGATCTGGCCTGGTGTCCTGGGAGCCCCTCACAGGGGAGCCTGCTCTGCCCTGTGAAGGTGAATGGCGGGCTCCTGCCCCTTCTGCTGCCCACTGAACCATGCAGGGCCACAAACAGAATCCAGCCCTCCGCTGGTCCGCTGGTAGAGCTTTAGTGAACTTGCTGCTGCTAGCCCCACCTAGTGATGGCCACGCGGCAGGACACCAGTGCAGACCCCTTTGGGAGCACTGCCCTTCACCTTCACAGGCCCTCTTAAGAGCACCCCAGGGTGCATAGTACTCTGCCCTGCTTCTCCTGAGGGCACTGTCCCCCAAAGGCATCCCCACCTTCCAGGTGTGCCCCCAGCACCCCATAACAGTCTACCTTTGCTGTTCCTGCAGCCTCAACAGCTAGACAGAATGGGCCCTGAGTGCTCACTGTCTCGAAGGCCGGCTCCACATGGCAGGTCCATGAGTGTCACAGCTTGTACCACAATCCTTGAATGTGCGGCAGCCCCAGAGGGATCCCAGGGCTCCCATACACCAGCCTCAGGAAGAGAGGCAAGCTGGCCTGTGCCCCATTCCACAGTGAGCCCCTCCTCCCTGGCCTGCCTCTGGGCCATGCCCTGGGGACATGAGCCTCTCTTGTCATTGTCCTCCTATTTCATGTCCCTTCTTCCAGACATTCTAGTACACAGACTCCTCTGTCTAGAGAAACTAAAAGTATGGTGCGAAACCCCACGAGGGTCGTTCCCTGGGAGAGTCCAGTTGGAATGAGGAAACCTGTGAGCTGAAGGCATTTAGGGTGGTGCAGCCCTGTCCCTCTGCAGCACGCCTTGCTATGCCAGCCCCACTGCGTGGTGAGCCCTGGTTCTCCTATCCAGACATGGATGCGGCGGCATCTCCCCACGCTGCCCCGCAGTGTTCACCTGGAGTCTGCTGTCATCCAGGCCCTGCTTCATGTGGGCAGGGAGCTCAGTAGAAGCTGCCCTGAGCCAACAGAGCTTCAGCAAAGGTGCCATTGAGCTGAGGTCCGATGGATGGGTGAGGTTGGGACAGTCGGAGGGCTATGTAGTCCCTGGTGCACGGCTGTGACAGTGGGGGCAGTGCTTCAGGCAGTACTGCATCCCAGACAGCAGGTCAGGAAGGGTGGTCCCCAGCAGCTTGATGCAACTCTTCTGGAGTGCCAGAAAGTGGTGAAGTTCTGAGCCAAGCAGTGCCACATCGACTGAGAGTGTAGGGAGGATTGTGAGAGGGAGCCGGGGACACAGCAGTCACACTGGCTTCTCCCCAGGGGTTAAGTTCACCCTTCCATGCCAGCTGAGGAGCCCGTGAAGAAAGTGCGTCCCTGTACCTGCACCCATTTCCTTCCAGGCTCGCTCAGTGTGCATACCCCGTGGTTTGCGTGGACACCACGGCACTCGCAGCCTTGCGCCCTGTCCACACAATCGTGGTTCCCAGTGGCATTGCCGTCTGAATGCCAAGGCGGTCAGGATCTGGAGAGAGCGGCTTCCAGCAGGATGCGGAGCACGCTTGAGTTACACGGTGTCTGGACAGAGCAGTCTGTCTGGGGAGGGTCCTGTATTCGCCATTAGCTCCCCGCAGTGGGCTGGCCCAGGCAGGTTTGCCCAGGAGGATCCAGAGTGGAAACGAGGTGTAGACACCTTGGATCGGCAAGTCGAGTTGGTCCCGGGTGTCCTGGGCAGAGAGGAGGGGCCTTCCTGGTCTTCCCAGATTAACTTGGGGACATGTTGGCCCTTGTCATCTTCCTTAAGCAGTGTGGCCTGGGGCAAGTGACGTCACTGCTTGGTGCCTCGATTTGCCCTCTGTGGTGGGAATGCTGATGGTACAGCTCCTGTAGCTGCATCACTTTGGCTTCTGTCCCTCTTGCGCTCCCTGCCCTCCTCCCTGTCGCTCAGGGTTGTATTTGGAGCTAGTTTTCAGAGTAAGCTTTGTGGGTGTGGCCTTCTCTGGCTCCAGCTGAGGACACAGATCCCCAGGTCCTCTTAAGTGGCCCTGCTATGCATTCAGACTCAGGGCAGGGCTCTCAGGATTCAGTGTGTGGTGGAATGGTGGGCAAAGGCTCGTGCCCCTTCCCTGGAAAGCTTTCCCAGGCAGTGCTGCTGGGCGGGGAGGTCCATGCAGCAGGCAGGGAGAGTGTAGCCCGGCCCTCTGTCCGCATCATGGCTGTGCAGCACAGGGCAGTGTCCTCTCCTGCCTGCGCCGCCCAACCCTGGATGTTCTGAGGAAAGCTGGTGAGCCACAGAAGCCTCTGGCTGTGTTCCTGAGTGCTTGGTACTCTGTAGGAAAAGGAGGATTGCATTCAACACAAGGGGTAATGATAGGTTGCTTTATTTTGAACAAGCATTTTTAGTGAGCACATTAAATTTGACCTTTCACTTACAAAGTCATTTGGCCTCTGTGTTCCCTGGTCTTTGCTTGTTTGAATCTTAGCATTTAAGGGCTTAGTTTTCTCATGTTTCACATTATCTCAAGACTCGTGACAACCATGAAATTGATAGCACACATGTCCTGAAAGCCTGGTGGGGAGAGCATACACAGACAGGTGAGCTCTGGGACACTCACTGGGGGGTTGGTCAACAGTGAACTGGAAGACAGAGTGGGTAGCACACTCCCCGCATGGAGCTATGGCCGTGTCCTCTGCAGTTGGGATCGCCACGGGCATGCCCATCCACACAGCGCCAGCTCTTAACTGCTATCTCCCACCCGCAGACTCTGCATGCAGCAGCGCCCCGGGCTCCGGGCCCAGCTCACCCAACAGCAGCTCTGGCAACGTCAGCACCGAGAATGGCATCACGTCCAGCGTGCCCAGCGTCCCGGCTGAGGTCAGTGCATGCAGGGCCACTCTGTGAAGGCCTTCCACCTGTTACCCTCTGGCCTTTCCCCCACGTGGGGCAGGAGAAACTGACCCAACACAAACCACGTGTGCTTGTGGCCAGGCAGGCATTGAGCACGTGTGATGAGAAATACACAAAGTGTTGGCCAAGAATCCGGGTTCCTGGAGACTGGAGGCTCCACTACCAGGGCAGACTAGGGCAGGCTCAGAGAGGGCCCCAGCATCACCCATAGGCCATTGTCAGAGCTGTCTGAGCTTCCCACAGAAGGCCTGAGCGCCGTGGCCAGCTGTGGGCCATGGCCTCACCCACACTCAGGTCCAGCATTTCCCTCTGGCCTGGCTACACATCCCACAAGGCACAGAGGAGTGCTGTACTCCAGTTGGTGGGCCAGGCTGCCGCTGGGTGGGCAGGTGGGCTGTGGGGAGGCCATGCAGCAGAGCTTCCCAACAGACTGACCAGAAACACCATCTGCCGCATGCAGGAGGGTAGAGTGGGAGGTTCTTCTGAGCTGTTTCCAACTCGCAGAACACTATAATTTATTAGGTAGTTATTTACTTCTTAAACATTTAGAAGTGAGCACTGCTCTTCTGGAGGGTTTCAGATCTTAGTTGGATCTTCAGGTCACGTTTCGAGCCCTTGGGTGTAAAGAGCCTGTGGGATCCAGAGCCACTGACAGGAGTGAGTCGCTGCTGCCTGTAGGTCACCTGGCACTGGTCCCCATATTCGTTTCACTTTGTCCTCCCTTATTATCTGCATTTTTAATCCTCTAATTAAGTATTGATTTGATACTAAAGTTCTGACAGTCCCTCTCTGCCAGACTGAGGTCACGGCTGAGCTCCCTGTCAGTGGCCTCAGAGTGCAATCTAGAAGTGACTTTGTGCCCCTGAGACATTGATCCCAGTCCCGTCTGTGGATCGTAGCCACAGATACTCATTCAATGTGGGCAGTCAGGCACATCTGGGTCAGTGGGTGGACCTGCACGGCTCTGGTTTAAGTGATACATTATTGTTTGCAAATTATGTGATACATAAATTGAGCTACTGTCAGTTAACAGCACAGAGAAAAGGAGTCCCAAGAACTGCGCAAGGTGAGGCTGCCTGTGGTTCACATCAGATGCCCTCTGTCACGGTCTGAGATGGCCTGTGACTGCTCACATGCAGATATCCCTGGTGGAGTTGAGCACCATTACAGGGGGGCGGCTGTGTGAGGGTGTCCTGTGACCTGGAGACCACATTCCTGCCCCGCAGGGCATCTGGTGGAAGCAGGACCTCCCTGGCCCCCGTGGAAGTGCTGCTACATGCTCAGTGCCCCTGTGCAAGGGAGCAGGGTGCTGCACCCAAGGGATGTCTGCAGGCACATGAGAGCTGCTGGTGGTGGCCCATGTCCCATAGGACCCTAGACTCCTGAGCTCTTGACGGGTGTGGGGGAGGGGCCCAATCTCAAGCCACTGGTTCCTGAGGGATCCCTGTGCCTCACCTGGAAAGCTGACGAACTCACCCTGAAGTAACGGGCTCCAGCCCTTCCCAAGCTCACCCTGAAGTAATGGGCTCCAGCCCTTCCCAGGCCCACCCTGAAGGGCTCTGTCTGGAAATAGCAGATACCACAACCATCCCGCCATTTCTCATGGGGTGATGAACATAAGCAAGAACTTCTCAGTAGGCTGCTTTATTTCTAAAAATATTAGGTTAAGAAAAAACAAAAACAAGTTTAGCTAGAAAGGAAATTATAACTTTACAAACATTAGATGGCCTGCTTACTTTGTTCCCAGCTAATTATATCACAGTAGAGTCATGCTTTCCTTGGCAGTCACAACCATTTTCTCTGAAGCAAGACTTAGGGATAATCCTTTGACTTTGGGCAAAATAAAACCTCTCGCCTAGGGAGAACACTTTTTCTAGTAGCCCTTTAGTTGCTCACGCCATGTATGTCAGTGAGATGTGAAAAGGCCCACAGGTGGCTAGAGCAGGAACCCTAGACAGAGTGCCCTGCCCCTCCCTTGCTCTGGGCACATGACCAAGGTGGGCTAGCAGGGCTTAGCCAGGACACCGGTGAGCGGGCTCCCTGAGGCACTGCAGAGGGACAAACTGGACATGAGCCACAGGACAGCAACTACCCACCATCCTCCTAACAAGAAGGAAGAAGGTGTTCTCTAGCCAGGGCTATGACCAGGCCACCTGGTTAACCTGTCATAATGTTCAGCTCATTAATTTTTGTCCTAAAACAAAATTTTAAAGCACTGAAAGTGTTTCTCTGCCTTAGTTACATAGTCTGCCATGAGAAGTAGGAGAAAATTGGTTTGTATGTTCATTATTAAAGGCACTTTGCCATTCAGATTTCTGCCTGCCAAAGCCCTCTATCAGTGTCCCTGCCTCCGCCTTTGTCCGTTCGGTTCAGTCAGTGTCCATTCCTTAAGTGTCCACCACTTAGCGACACAGTGGCTACTAAGATACTCTCCTTTAGGTTGAAGCCTGTGTTCTACAGGCTGTGTTACACAGCCCGAGGCGCAGTCTGGAGGACGCTGCAGGGTGCCCTCACCCTCATTGAAGGCCTTGAGGCTCCTGCAGACTGTGCTGACAGCCCTTCCTTCAATGACTTGTTATCTTTTTTTGGTACCAGGGATCCAACTCGGGCCCTTGCACTTGCAAGGCAGACAGCAGAACCACTGAGCTAAATCCCTGACCCTGACTTGATTTTCAGGAGCAGTTTATCACAAAAGGGTGTCAAAAGGGCCAGGGATTTATCTCAGTGGTTTTGCTACCTGCCTCACAAGCACAAGGTCCCTAGTATGGGGGGTGGAGGGGAAACAAACAAAAGAGTGTCTGAGTGACCATTCTTGGGACACTCCCCAGCCCCCGTGTGTCCAGGGTGCACATGTACCTGTGTGCAGGCCAGATCGTGGGTCACCTCCTCGGGCTGTTCTGAGCACTGTCCTGAGAGTAGAGCCCGGGGTCCAGTGTGGCTCAGCTCTCGCTGACACAGGCCCTGCAGAAGAAGGCTAGCCCATTCATCACCCACCATAGTGCACTTTTGTTGCTCTGGGCCAAGATGCATTATCATTTCTAAAGTTTTAAATGGTGTCAGATGACTGGTAATGTTGAGTGTTTCTTGTGAGTTTATTCTCCCTAGTACGGTCTCTTCTTTTGTCCTTTGTGGGCTGTGCTTTTCTCCTTACTAATTTTTCTTTGATTTCGAGCTGTTTGTAGATTAACCTTTGCCCTATATATTGCCAATACTGTTGTCACGACTGCTTTTGCAGAAGCAATTTTTTTTTTCTTTTTCTCACTCATTTCCTCTTTAGTCTCTGCTTTTTTTTTTTTGTACTGGTGATTGAACTCAGGACCTTGTGCTTGCAATTGTGAAACAGGCAGCGGAACCACTGAGCTAAATCCCTAGTCCTAGTCTTCAGCTTTCGATGTCATCATTGAAAAGACATTCTCAGTTACAAAAAAACTGCTTTTAATAAATTATCCCAGATTTTCTTCTGATATCTTATGGTAAGCAAGTTGGACAAAAATAAGGTGATGACAGAAGACACCGAAAGGACTCCTATTCGGGGAGTAAACATGTGAGCGAGTGCGAGTGTGTTTGCACACCGGGGGTGTGCTGCAGTTTGTCAGGAGCCCTGTGCCTCGGGGCTACGGCCCACTGCTCCTGGGTGCTCCCCGCGGAGTGGCCGTGTGATGCTCACCATGTTCTCCTCTGCAGACCGGCTTGGCGCACAGACTTGTGACTCGAGAAGCCTCTGTCGCCCCACTCCCCCTCTACACGTCACCGTCCCTGCCCAACATCACCTTGGGTCTTCCTGCTACCGGCCCTTCCGTGGTAAGTGGCACCTAGGGGTCTGTATGACGCGGGTGGCTGTGGGGATCCCACAGCCCAGGCAGCACAGCTCTGCTTCCCAGGGCACAGCGGCCCAGCAGGACGCCGAGAGGCTCGCTCTCCCGGGCCTGCAGCAGCGGATCTCCCTCTTCCCCGGCACCCACCTGGCCCCCTACCTGGGCACCTCACCCCTGGAGCGGGATGGCGGGGCAGCGCACAACCCCCTTCTGCAGCACATGGTCCTGCTGGAGCAGCCGCCCACACAGACACCCCTTGTCACAGGTACGCACCCCCGTCGCCTTGGGCTGGGCCACCCTGGCCCTGTGGGACCCTGTTGCATGACACAACCTCTACCACTAAAGCTGGGTGGGGGGAGAAGAGCAGGCACCAGCCACCCCTGTGTGACCTCCCGAGGAGGCCTTGTGATTTGTTTTAGTGTCCATGGGACTAAGCAAGTGCTCAAAGCTCATAATTGAACTAGACAGATAGTTGGTTTCTGTTGGCAGCAAAACGTTTTACAAATGTGTGCTCTCCAGTGATGGTTAGTTATATATAGAAAAATACAGGTTAGAAGAAAATAGGGAATTTGTTATGTTTGCATAGGACCACTATATGAGGTGTTTCAGAGGTGGGGGACGTGCCTCTTTCTTGTGACACAAGGGTGAGCAGCTGTGCCATGGCACGCTTTCCCTGGCCAGGTTCTGCTTTGGTGGGGTTCAGCCACGAGACCAGCTCAGCCACACCTTGTAACTCCATCTCCCGTGGTGGTCCTGCTCAAGGTGCTCCGTGTGTTACAGGACGCTGGCTGGTGGCCATGGACTTGGTCCTGTTGGCTTGGCCAGGTGTGCAGGCTGTGGTTTGCCTTCTCACCATGTGCTTCTTCATCTCCCTCAAACACTTGGCTCTTTGTGTCGTTTGGTCAGGGCAGAAGTGGAATACCTGGTCCCGCGTGTCCGTGCAGATGGGGAGGCCTTCTGTGCCTGGCCCAGAGAGTAGTGTCTCTGACCTGTGGACCAGAACTTGCTGCTGCAGGGTCCCTTCTCATCTGTCCTCGCATGCTTGAAGACTCCTGCAGCCTTGTGCCTCATCTCCCAGCTGTGCAGTGGGTGCCAGAACAGGGTCTGAGAGTTCACAGTCCTGTGGGCAGTGTTTGCCTCCTGGTGGTGGTGGCGACTCTTGGCTTGGTTGTCCTTAACCTTCAGTCTCCCACACTTCCTTCCCCTGCAGTCCCACCCGTCCTTCCCAGCATCACCCAGAACCTTCTCTCCATCCCAGCCACCTGACTTTGATTCTGGTCCCACTGGGGTCTCCTGTGCCCTCACAGGGAGGATCTAGCTGCTGGCATCTGTCCTCAGGAGCCCAGGCTCCCCATCATCTAGCACAGTGGCTCACCAGCCACGTGACGACTTCAGTCAGAGGGGAATGCGGCTCCTTGGCCATCATCTCTGGTCCCTGTGTCCACAGCACTGGCAGGGCTAGGAGCACAGTTCCCTAGCATGGATGCCAGCCTTGCAGTGCAGCTTTGTTCCCTCCTCCTTATCCGGCACCTGGTCAGGCTAACCAGAGGAAGGTGAAATCGAGGGATCCTTAAGACCGCTTCCTTGCATCAGGTGGCTCTGTCCAGCCCGCCATCCCCTGCTGTCCACATTCTGTGCCTGCATCCAAGCGCTCACCTCTGCCTTTCCCTGCTCTGCTCACAAGCTCCTGGAGAAGACCCCCTCCTCCTGCTCAGGGCCCTCTACCAGTCCCAGCGCCTGCCCTGAGTGTGGGCCAATGGGTGACCCCATGAACGGACCCAGTGATGGCCACGGTCTCACAGGGGGCCCGGTCCTGGTTGGGGCAGGTTTGTGCTATCCGTTTGTCCCTGCGTGTCTGCAGGTCAGGTTCAGGGTGGTAGTGGTGCTGTGTGGGCTTGTGTGCCGAGCTGGGACAGCTTTCCTCTCTTGGGCCTGGACACAGAGGCAGGAGAAGTGTCAGGCTGACCCTGGGGGGTAGCCACAGTGCGGGCATCCAGGAGCTGCCCCTGAGGCAGGACTCTTGCTATGCTCTTGGGGGCCTGGCCTTCAGTCAACTCTGCTCTCCCAAGCCTGAGCTCATAGACATTGACAAGCAGCTTACGGCACCAAGGGAGGAGGCCCTGGGCGAGCAGGTGCATAGCACCATCATTTCCATGGTTACTCAGCAGCCTTCTCTCCCCTTCCTCTTCGTCACACTCCTCTGCCTCTCCGTGTGTTACCTTCCAGGCCTGGGCGCACTGCCCCTGCACGCACAGCCCCTGGTCGGCGCAGACCGTGTGTCCCCATCCATGCACAAGCTGCGGCAGCACCGCCCACTGGGACGCACGCAGTCAGCGCCACTGCCACAGAGCGCACAGGCCCTGCAGCACCTGGTGATCCAGCAGCAGCACCAGCAGTTCCTGGAGAAGCACAAGCAACACTTCCAGCAGCAGCAGCTGCACATGGGCAAGGTGGGTGAGGGGCATGGGGTGGGTTGCAAGCAAGTCAGTGTCAGTGCCTCTGCCGGGATGGGGCTTGGGACGTGGGCAGGCTGCGCCTGTGGCTCTTCCTTCTGGGGTCTCTGCTTTACTAAGTAGATCTCTACCCAAACTGTGACCACAGTCCCCACCTCTGTGACACATTTGCCACCAGCTGACCTAGCAGTCACGCTTCAAGTCTCCCAGCTCTGCCTTGAGTAGGAATGGATAATGCCGTGTGCGGGCCTGATGGATGCCAAGTGCTCAGTGTAGGTTCTGTCCCGTGCTGGTGCCTAAAGCAGCCTGCCAGCACCTCAGGAGATGGCACTGAGCCACTATATGCCTGGGAGTGGCCCTTGTCCATGCCATGTGTGCAGCAGGGTGACTGTGTGGACCAGTGGTGGGCACTCATGGGGTTAAGTCGGCAGCAAACATCGCGCCAAGGGTGTTAGGCCAGACAGACCACACTGTGTGGCTTAATTCACATGAAGTGTCCAGAACCAACGCACAGGCCGAGCTACAGAGTTCCCTTTCAGGGTGCTGGGATGTTTTCAAGTTAAATTGTCTGTGGGGGCGGGGACGCCCAGCGCACACCTGGAATGGTGAGGACTCAGTGGCAGCCATCAGGACAACAGCCACAGCGGGCAGACTGCATGTGCAGCTTGGATGTGCTGGACAGGGGTGCTCCACGTCCTGGGTGGACAAGACAGCTTGGAGCAGGATTTCATCGTACAACTCAGAGCAGTGCGCAATTTTAAACTTAAAATTGTTCGGGTCCGGGGATTTAGCTTAGTGGTTCCATTGCCTGCTTCACAAGCACAAGAACCCAAGTTTGATCCCTGGTACCCCCCCAAAAAAAGAATTGTTCAGTCCTGTAATTTCCTCATTAATGTTTTGGAACTTGACTGACCACATGACACTGAGGACAAGGGAGAACTCAACTGTGCAACCAGAAAAACTGTTTGGGAAAAATCAAGAGGCTAGATAGAAGACAAGTGTTCTGAAGGAGCACCCAGAGCTCATGGCCAGCTTGGCAGTGGACAGAAAGAACTATTTCCTGACTGTCCTCTCTCCCATGGGAGCACCTCTGCCTGCAGCAGTCCCTCTTTTGTTTCCCGAGGAGGGGACTGCTGAAGGGCGGGGGCAAAGAGGCTCTCCTGGAAAGTCAGGCACAAGGTTCCCCTGAGATACAGGGCTTCCCTTCATGCCACCACCTCTCCAGAGCAGGTGCCGCTCCGGTTTCTGTCTCACGAACCCCTGTTTCCATCTCAGAAGGAGTCTTCAGAGTTCCTCAGAACAGGCAAAGGCTTGGTTTCTCCAGTGCCCAGGACAGGGGCTGCCTCTCAAAATGTCCCTCAGCCATGGCCACTGGCTCCCACCCAGATCCACCCCAAGGTGTTCTACTGCAGGCTGGCGTGTACACAGTCAGGGAGGCAGGCACCTTAGTCCAGTCCCCCTCCGCCCACCAGGCACCACAGGGTAAGATCACCCAGCCTGCAGGCCCTTGTGACAGACAACACTGAGGGTGTCAGAGTAGGGGCACTGAACAGCTCCTCCTCTGCACAAGAAAGGCACTGTGGGGGCGAGATGGGCTCCTGCCAAGTGTCTGTACTCCTAGTGTCAAAAGCACTTTCACGTCTGTCTTTCTAATGCCAGCCGAGGCTTATTAATTTCATTATGTCACTCTGAGTGATGGAGTAGGAGGTTTGCGGAAGACAGAAACACCCATTCGCGTGTGGCTTGTTCTTGAAAAGAGCGATTCAGAGACCAGGTAATCTCGCTGGATTCTGCTCCATGACTGATTTACGGTAGCATGAGACAGCTGATTGAAGCATTTACACATTGCTTTCCTGGGCTGCTTGGGGAGGCAGTGGCCTTGCCTGGCACCACCTATACCAGCATCCTGCCCTGGTCTGTAGGGATGTCATCCCGAGTACTTACCCCTGGGTGGGACGTGGCGGGGACCTCAGCAGTCTCGCTGGCCCGCTGCTTGTTTAGCCTTCACCCAAGTACAGATGGTGTCCACGCCATTGCTAGCTCCATGCCATGTGCAGTGAGGGACTTTGGGGGACCACAGGTGTCCAGGGGTGTGTGGGGCTCTGCACCCTGGTGGTGGCTTTGGTTGCTGCCATGTCTGGCTTTCTGCATGTGGCCCTGTTGCCTAAGCAGGAGTTAGTGTCAGGCGAAGTGCCTTTTTCTCTCCAGCAGTGGAATGTGTAGGAAGAGCCTCTTTACCACTGGAGTGGACAGCAGCTCTTGCAGCCGTTTCTGTCCACAGCCCTATTGCTTGACTCCAGTACTATGATCCCTCAGTCAGTTGTGTTTCCCTTCAACATGACTTTCCTAGCTTTGAGTATGGATGGAAACGTGGACTCATTTGGATGGTCTCAACACAAGTATGTCCAGCTGTTCTTAAATGCTGGAATGCTTGCTTTGTCCTTGAACTCCAGGTTGGTATTTAAAAATGTGGATGTGCATTTGTTCTTACTCAGCTGATAAAAGGGGCTCTTGGCATCCGTGAGACTCTGGAGGACATGTAGACATATCTTGCCCTTGCCACTGCCTCCCTGCTGGCTGATTATGCCAAATCTGAGCCTGGGAGAAAAGAACACAGGGTCCAAGGAGGGGAGAAGCAGGCTTTTGTGTACTGTGGCTCAAGGAGGCTGCCACATTGCCATGGTGGCCTCATTCCCAGGTACCTCTGGAGGGCAGCCTGACGTGGCTGGGGCCTCCTCGGGACCTCTCTGCATCTAGGATGTGAAGTGTCCCGATATCTGCCTGTGACTTGTCAGGAGCCAGCACATATTGCCCCTGCAATGGAAGGGCTTTCTCCTGGACATCCCGGCCAGGCCTCCACAGGAGGGATCTGGGGCCTCTGCTCTGTGAGGAGACCTGGAAGGGCCACATTCCTCTGCCTGTGGCCCTCTGGCAGAGCTGTTGCTGGGCCTGGCCATCTGCTGGTTCCTCCACTGCCTAAAGGACTTCAGGGACCTCGGAAGAGAAAGCCAGGAGCCTGTCCTGGAGGTGGAAACCTGGTAATGTGAGAGATCAGGAAAGTAAAAAGGGGAGGCTGAGGCCCTTTCACACTTAATCCTGAAGCCAGCCTGTAGGCTGACATCACCACAGGGAAGTCCCCACCACCGAAGTCAGCACTGTTTGCCAGAGCCTCCTCACCAAGGCTTTCGTGAACACACTGCCACCTGCACCCTACTCTTCTTGGAAACCTGCGCCCTCCTGAGCCTGGCATGGGGAATGATCCCTGTCCACTCGGGTATTGCAGCACAGCATATTGTGAAAGTCTGTCTGCTCCAAAGATGGAAAGGCCCTGAGATCCACTGCCAGGAATGGAAGATGGAGGCACAACTGGGATCATCTGGTACCACAGAAGGGCCACAAAGGATGTTCCTGGGCTAGGGGTTGCAGCTGCTCTTACAGCAGAAAGAGCGGCCAACTTCCAAATCTGTCTCCTGATACCTGGACAAAGGGCAAAACTCTGGAATTTTCTTATGATGTTCTGTTCTTTAGGTTTGAGACAGAGCTTGGCCACCCTTCTTTCACAAAGACAAAACCAGTTCCCTGCTGTGAGCATCTCAGTTTGTCCATGACCCTTATCTACCCCTCGGTCCTGCTGGCTGTCCCCATCCCTTGCTGACTTCTGGACAGGGCCGCTCTGCAGGGTCACCCTCGGAGACACCCTGAGCCCATTCACCTTGTGTGCGTGCACGTGAGCCTGGCAGGGGGACCTTGTCTCTCACTCCCTTGGGTGCTCATGTCTGAGGTGGCGGCTCCTCCTGTCCCCACAGTCTGCCCTGGGCTCCTGTGCTCACATTTTCCCCCAGCCCACCTGCTTGTTCCTTCCTGATCATGTTCATCTCTGGTCCTCATCTGTCTCCCAAAGCCATTCTCATTTCAGGCAGGACACCTTGTAGGTCCTGCTGGGTCCCCTCCCATGCCCACACTCAGCCTTTGCAGCCAGACCTCTGAGCCCTGCAACCCAGGGCCTTGTCTGTCCCCCTCCTGGGCTCTATGCCCCCTTATTCCTACACATGTCCCCAACACTGGCTCCCCGAAGGTGCAAGGTCATTCCCAGCCCTTCCTGGCTGCCCTTTTCCTCTGCCCTGACTTCCTCCACAGCAGCCTCGCCACCTTTTCCAGGGGGCTTCCTCCAGGCTCTTTCCAGACTCTCTGTCCCCTGCCACTTTTCTCATGGTGGGGGCTGTAGGCCTGGGTCTCAGCAGACCCCATAAATCCCACAGGTCACCTCACCCTATTACCAGTCACACTGTACAGGTGCCAGGGACAGCAGTGTGCAGAGCACAGGAACTCTCCTGGCCACGTATCTGAAGGCCAAGGTGAGAATGCCCACCTGAGGCCTGAAGGAGGCCGAGCACCTCTGCGAGGTGGGACATGGTCCCCCCAGGCTCCTGTCCTCCCTGCTGTCATGTAGCCAGGGCTCAGGCTCAAAGCACGCAGTGGTAAGATGACCATGAAGTCGGGAAGCCACCGACTGCCAGAATATTTAATGACCCGCTTCTCAGGGTGGGTGAGTCTGTCTGAGCAGCAGCATGAATCACAGCTGGTCCTGTGAAGTGTAAACAAAATCCAACACAGTGGGGTGATCTGGTCCTCACACATGCTGTGCTCTCCAGACCTCTGCTCCCTGCCCTGCACACCTGCATGCTGATGATAGGCATTGGAGTCACCAGAACCTGCCCACCCCTGAGGGACCAGCATCTCCCCATTTCCTGCTCTGCCCTGGGCTCTGCCTCTGTGACATCAGGTTCCTAGCCTTCACAGCTGCCCTCTGCCACCCCAGACTGAGGCTCACAGTACTCTGCCCTACCCTGCAGGTAGAAGTCCAAGTTTGGAGGGGAGGGACATTTCAGTGTCTGCATGTGTGGCTTCTCAGCCATGCCTTACCTTAAATGATCGATGGAACAGAGCCAAGGATAACCTGTGACAGACCCTCAGCCATCTGAGGTCTCTAGCACCATTGTGTAGCTCTGAGGGGCGAGAACACACCCCCTGTGTGTCCAGGGTAGGGCCCAAGCAGGTGATGGTGCAGTGACCCTGACGCCAGCATCTGCTGAGCCTGTCCAAGCTTGTGAGGACTTCAGGATGCAGGCGCACTGTGGTTCAGTGTCAGGCACCCTGGTGTCATCTCTGTGGGGAAGTGGAATCTGTGCAGATTGTTCTCTCAGGGTGCAGTCCCCCCGAGGCCGCATGGTGACAGGCTGTGTGCGCAGCATCCCCCACCGGCAAAGCAGAGAGCAGCTCAGGCAGCCATTGTCCCTCTCACACCCTCATCAGCGCCCTCCAGCTCGGGCCTCCTTGCTGCCTTTTTCCCTCAAGCCCCTGGCCAGCTTGCACTATGTCCTGCTGGGGGGCCTGCCGAGTGAAGGTGTCCTTTCTCTCCATAGCCCACTGTCTGGCCTTGGCCTCACCCCATGCTCCTCTTCTGTGGTGCATCCACACAGGCAGCTGCCCCAAGCTCTAGGCCTGGCAGTCAAGGGCACATGCTGGACCCCCAGACACCAGTCTTGCCCTATGCTGAGCTATGGTCTCACTGGCGCTGTCTCCATAGGATGGAGAGCTCTCAAAGCCCAGGTTGGTGGCTCCTGCGGGCTGGGCACAGGGCCACCTTCCACATACCCTGAGGATGTCGGCCAGGATCTGAGTGTCCTCTGTATACCATGTGTGTTGTAGATCATCCCCAAACCCAGTGAGCCAGCCCGGCAGCCTGAGAGCCACCCCGAGGAGACGGAGGAGGAGCTCCGTGAGCACCAGGCCCTGCTGGATGAGCCCTACTTGGACCGGCTCCCAGGTCAGAAGGAGGTTCATACACTGGCCGGCGTGCAAGTGAAACAGGAGCCCATCGAGAGCGACGAGGAGGAGGTGGAGCCCACGCGGGAGGTGGAGCCCGGCCAGCGCCCACCCACTGAGCAGGAGCTGCTCTTCAGACAGGTACCCCACTGGAGTTGGCAAGCAGGCGCAGGGGCTCTATGTGCTGGCTGTGTCCTCTGGTGACAGACACTGCCCTGTCCAGGGCCTCGCCCGTCTTCCAGGCCACTGTGGGCCAGCGTGCTCACACACCTGCACATCACCCTTCGCAGGCACTGCCCACACTCCCCTGGACAGTCCCCACAGATCTCTAGGCACAGACTAGCACAGAGCCCCATGCTTGTGGGATTGGGCATGAGCACTAACACTGGGGAGAGACAGGGAGCTTGATCTGATGGTGAATTACTAGGTGTGCGAGCTGATCAGAAGCCAGGAGCTTTGGGGGGCCATAGAGGCACTGGTGACAGATCCAGAAAATGGTATGAGTTGGATGCAGAAAGCTAGTCAGGCACTGACACAGTCACCAAAGTCACAAGAGACTGATGAAGAAATCCAGTGACCGGTTTATTAAATTCCAGTGAAAATAAAACCAGAAGTGAAGAGAAATACTAGAATAGTCAGTCTACTGGCTGGAACCCCTGGTTAGAAGCTGTCCTTCTGTAGGCAGCATGGAAGGCTGAGTGAGGGCTTCCTCTGCCTGTTGTGGAAGGCTTACGCAGCCTCCCACAGGGGCACCTCTGCTGGTGTCCAGGGTCCTGCAGGGTTCACATCCCTGCTGATACCTCACACTCCACAGAGCCCAGGCAGACTGACTCTGTGACCCCGACCATGCAGGCAGAGAAGCGGCTTGTGCATGGCCTGTGCTGTCTGCCTGCACTGGGCTACCATGACCTCAAGTCAGGGCTATTTCTGCTATGCTGTGTGCTCTGCCCACTCAGAGTGTGGCCACATGTGCAGCACAGTCTATCTGTGGGTATGTGAGAGCACATGTGTGTCACCCACACCCTGGGCTTGGTGGCAGGGTCTGGGTAGCAGCCAGTGACTCTTTCCCCACAGCAAGCGCTCCTGCTGGAGCAACAGCGGATCCACCAGCTGAGGACATACCAGGCATCCATGGAGGCTGCAGGAATCCCTGTGTCCTTCGGCAGCCACCGGCCTCTGTCCCGGGCACAGTCCTCCCCAGCATCTGCCACTTTCCCTGTGACTGTCCAGGAGCCCCCCAGCAAGCCAAGGTTCACCACAGGTAATGCAGTCTCTCGCAGGGCTTGAGGAGCTGGGGTGTCTACAACCCTGAGAGTGTAGCCTGCGGCTGGCTTTGGGGGCCAGTCACAGGCTCAGAAGCCCACTTCCTGTCACAGAATCCTACTGTCTGCATGTGCCACTTAGGCCTCCTGTTCTCTCTGTGGTGGGTAGACCTCGGCGTGAAAGGTTCCCAGTGTTGAGGGTGAGAGCTAAGGAGGAACATGGCGCCCATGCAGCCTGGGCAGTGGAGGCTGGACTCCTGGCACCCCAGCCCACAGCTGCCAGAGCTGCCTGGCCCCAGCCCTGGCAGAGGAGGGTAGTTTCCCAAGACTGCGGAAACTGGGATATCTCTCCCTGGTGTTCAGAGCTCCTACTCCTTTTTAATGGCACATGAAGAGAAGTGTTATATAAACAGTGATTTACTCTTTATGAGCCTCAGAAGGGGTCTCATTCTGCCTTCCTTGAAGATGGTTACATCCTCCTCCCAGTCTTGCGATTCTGCTCCTATTCAGAGAAAAACTGTGGCAGTAACTTTCCTAAAACTAAAGGGCTGCTTTTCAGAAAAAGTAGAAGGAAAATTGCAGAAGGCCACAGAGCCAGCTGAGGCTTCTACACAGACCTGGGCCATGGACTGGCGCACTCTGAGCAGGCTAGCCCAGCGTGGCATCATGTGGGCTCATCCCATGGTGCTCACGGGGGACTCCCGGCACCCTGCTTTATTGGTGCCTTTGCAGGTTCCGGGGGTGTGCAAAGAGAAGCACGCTTTCCTGGCACACAGACACAGGGACCCAAGGGAAGGGCCGGTCCAGGCTAGGGGTGTAGCTCGGCCCCGGGCTGACTCCTCTGCCTGGTCTGTGCACAGGTGGACACACAGCCTGGTACCCCACCCTACCTGCCCACACCCTGGCTGCGCTGTCTTGTGGAGCTGCATGCTGGTGGCCCAGCAGCTATGCTGCTGCACAGAGCGGTGCCTCCTTTGTCCTTTAGCTCTCTCACATGAAGGGCAGTGGTGCGCTGGGCCTGTGACTGGGGTGGACGGGACAGCTGTGTGTGCAGGCACATTTGTGGGAGGTGTGTCTGCATGAGTGTGGGGTGGCCATCACCAAGGCCCAAGCACAGCCTTCTGCTTGCCAGTGCCTGCACTCCTGGGCCCCACACCCACCACCCCCTCTGCCACCTTCCTTCCTTTCTTACCAGAAGTCTCATCATCCACACTTAGCTCTGCTGGTGCACCTGGGATCCTTAGGTACAAGAGACCGAGTCCCATTAGCACAGCACATGAGATGGAGCTGGGGAACTCTCATGCCCAGGGCCAGGCATCCAGGTTGGCAGTGAGCCTGCTATTTCTCAGGAAGAGAAGCCCAAACAGGGAGAGTGACTCAGGGCGGACACAGAAGTGATGGACCTTGCATCCCTCTGCCACCGCAGCCCAGTCTTCATGGCTCCCCATGTCCTCAGCCCAGACAGACACCCTGTCAGTGCCCTGCCTGTCAAGGGGTCCCATTCCCTGCCCAGTAGTCCTGTTCCCAACCTCCAAGAGCAGGTGTGATGGCTCCTTCGGGCACCATGCCACCTGAGTTTGTGTGATGTGTGCCCCTCTCACACGGGCCCAGCTCCACTGTGCCAAGCTGCTCATGTAAGCAGGCCCGTGTGTAGGTGCCCACTGGGAGGTTCCGAGGACTGCAGTACTATGCTCGCAGAGCGACTTCACGCGGAGGCTGGCCCATGACCAGGTGATTTGGGCCTTGTGGGACCAGCTTCTCTTGCTCCAAGAGGCCCGCAATGGTCCCATCACCCAGAGCTCTGCACTGCACCATCAATACACCTGCCGACCTGCCCCTTTGGGCATGACACTCACCCTGTAGGCCTGAGAGCCCACCCTGCACAGCAGTCTTGTGACCCTCCTGCCTCCCTGCAGGCCTTGTGTACGACACACTGATGCTAAAGCACCAGTGCGCCTGTGGGAACAGCAACAGCCACCCCGAGCATGCTGGGAGGATCCAGAGCATCTGGTCCCGCCTGCAGGAGACCGGCCTGCGCAGCAAGTGTGAGGTGAGGGCACCGGGAGCCAGGGGGGTGGTCCCACTGCTCTGCTCCCGCTCGCTGGCCACCACCAGCCACACACACCAGGCAGAGTCTGGGCTCCGTGACTGGAAAGAGCCTGGGCTGCTCCACCCAGATCACCAGGCAGGCGCCCAGCAGGCCTTCTGCCTGGAAGCCTGTCCCAGTGTCTCTGCTGCCCTAGCAGACTCCCTGAAGCTGGCACCTGAGAAGGAAGAGGTTTATCCAGGAAGCATGCAGTCCATCTGGCAAGGGGAGTTGAGTGGCTGCATGAGGAAGAGGCCCAGAGCATGGGTGGCCCTGTGCCTGGTTACCCCCACCAGGCCTACCTTCCCAGGGCCCACAGCTCAGCACTGCCACTCCAGGGGCCAAGGCTGCTGTCCTGAGACCCGCGTCTGACCCCATGGCAGCCCTCCCCCTCTGATGCCCCTTTCTGACACCTCACCTGCTTCCTAGCAGTGCCAGGGCTCCTCTGTGGCCATCCTGCCTCCCTGCCCTCACCAGGGAAGCAGTTCCCCTCATGCCTGCTGTGCCCCGCCCTTCAGGCCTTGACAAAGTGACAAAGTGTCTCAGACCAGGCTGGCTGGCTTCTCGCTTAAATATGTGCTCTGCCCTCACGGAGGCCCTGGCAGGTGCCAGTTCCCACAGGGCAGCACCTAACCAAGAGCAGCCTGGTCCCTTTGCTGGTGGGAGTCACACACAAAGATCTCGGTGGTGCTGTTTCTGGCCAGTCCACACTTGGAAAGAAGGCTGGGCCCCCAGAGCTAGAGGACAAGGCAGGAAGCTCGGGTGGAGGTGTACAGGTGTGGAGGGAGGGCCTGTGGTGGGAGCTGGTGGCTCACAATCCCACTGTGGGATCATTCAGGTGCCGTCCCTGGGTCTCCCTGGAAGGCCCACAAGAAGGGGGGCCTCCCACCCCCCACACATCTACCAGGGGTCCTGTGAACTAGAGAATTCTATCCACATCTGTCCCAGAGCAGCTGGCTGCCACCTGGCCAGGGCTGTGGAGCCCACTGCTGTGGAGTGCCGAGCTCCTCAGCACAGGCTCCCTTATCGCGACTCCCTGTTCTCCCTCTCCCTCTCTCTCTCACAAGCTCGGGTATTCAGGAATTGACCCAGCTCCCTCTGCCACCTCTACTGGTGAGACCTATTTTCAGGGTGACGGGGTCCATTGCCAGCACACACATCTCCTGAAACGCTGTTCCTGAGGAGGGTGATCCTGTGACCAGGAGTGTTGGGATGAGGCTGGGACGGCTGTGCCACTGGAGGGCAGCATTGCCCAATAGACAAACTGAGAGGATACTCCTCCCCTTGTGGCCAGCTCCTCCCCTTCCAGGGCCCTCCCTGGGCATCATGAGTTCTTGAGGTGTCCTGACACACATCTTCCTGTCTACCCTGTTCAGCTTCTCCCTTCCTAGGAGGGTCCACTCAAGCCAGGGGCACTTAGGGGCCATTTCTCAGCCAGAAAAGCCAATAGGAGCCAGGCAGGAGTGGGGAGAGGCAAACAGCCACTGGATGAAGAGCCCTGGAGAGAGGAGGCCTGAAGAGGAGGGAGCTCAGAAGCAGCCATAGGGATGGGCTCTATCCTAGATGTGCTGCTCTCTTGGGCAGGGGTTTCTGTGTGAGCTCAGCCCAGGGGAGCTCGTGTCACCACCAGGCTCCCAACCAGGCCCTTGCTCCTAAGATGGCAGAGCAGAGCTGCCCAGGCTGGTTGCCTAGTAGCCGGATAGTCAGTCTCTGAGCTTCTCCCAGTGCCCAGCCACCCAGGACAACAGTGAGAGTGGAGCCCGGCCCTGGGGCAGAAACATCTACAACTCACTCTGGTGGTGATACCCAGGTTGGGATGTGGGCTGGTGGGAGGTCTGCAGCCCTGCTGCTGCAGTGCTTCCTATTTCATCCATCTTGATACTTGTGAGGATGGGTATTGTCCTTCCTCTTCCTCATACTGGCATTCACTTTAGTTCAGGAGCTCTGCCTCTAGTCTAACTTAGGATCTCTCACAACAGCTCAACTTGTACGCAAAGGCCCAGCCTCTGGGCACCTGGGGCACCTGGCCACTGCCTTTGCCCACCTTTCCTGCTGTCCTCACTCACTGGTCTTCTTGACCCCATATGCTGACTCCTGTGCTCCTACAAGCCGCTGAGAGCGTGGCACACCCAGACCCTGCTTGAACAGTATGTGGCACAGGCCCCACTCTGTCTGAAGTGAGGATGGAAGACATATAGAGACCCACCCAGCAGCATAATCTCCCCCACAGGGGCCACTGCATGCCAAGCTCTGCTGGTCACCCTTGCCCCTCTGCCTGCATAAGCAAGACCAGGGCATAGTGTGTGTGCAAGGAAGCCCCCTGTACAGGCTGCTTGTGGCAAGAGCAGCCCCTAAAATCTGCTGCACAGCACAGCCCCAGCTTCGAGGCTCATGTACAGGCGCAGGCACTGAGACCTGCAGGTCTGTGCGCACTGGGCCAAACAAGCAGGCAGAACAAGATGGAACCTAGGCGATGGCCAGCATCATGGCCCTGAGTTCGCCAGGCTGTGTAAGATGCTGGCTTCGATCTCATGTCTAAACCATTTCCCTTCTCAACATTTACGTAAATAACTTCTCAACTGAACAGCAGTAATTTTTCTGTTCATTTCTGGGGCACACCTGAAAGTTGCCTCTTAATTTGAGGAGTTTCTAGACCACAGGGAGACGTGTTCCCCCAGCTCTGAGCCAGGCATGGCAACCTCCCGAGCATGCCAGCCTGTGCCGCCGAGAGGGCTCCCTGCACACAGGTGCAGTGTGACAGGCACAGCAGACTCAGACCCCAGGGCCAGGCCCTGGGGTAAAGAGTGCCCACACTGCCACTGGCAGCTCTGCTACTTCAGGGCCACTCAATAATCGATGGCCAGATTGCTGTTTGACAGTGAACAGTGGTGTATTGAGGGCTTTGATTATTTTCTTAAGTGCTTTTCAAAGCTACGTTTCAAATGCAATCCCTCAAAACATTTTTAAATATTGTGTCAGGTGATACTCACTGTGCATTTTGCAGGAGCCCAGTGACTGCATGTTCCTGCATGGAGCTGAGTCCCCTCGGCAATTGCATTCCAACTAGCTGAAATGACAGCTGGCATGGAGATGCGAGCTCCTCTCTGCTCTGTCCCTACAGTGCGTCCGTGGACGGAAGGCCACTCTGGAGGAGCTGCAGACGGTACACTCAGAGGCCCACACGCTGCTGTATGGCACAAACCCCCTCAACAGGCAGAAGCTGGACAGTAAGAAACTTCTAGGTATTTCAGAGCCTTCCTTACATCCCTGCTGGGTTTGATCTTCCCCGTCACATTTCTAGCCCGTGGCCCCGGTGGCTAGGGCAGCACAAGTGGAGAGTCATGGCCTGGCTACCTCTCCCAAGCATCAGACATCAGCTGCAGGGCAGGAAGCTGCTGCTTTCTTGTACACAAGTGCAGGAGAGACCTTGGCCTCAGGAGAGGCATATAGCAGGGCTTCCCCACCTTGACCCAAGGTTTTCAGCAGGTACAGGTGGAGCTTGACAAATGCCACAGGGCTCTGCAGGCTCCCTAGGTGCAGACTGGGGACTGGGGGTCAGTGCCCTCCCTGGACAGAGACATGGGGACAACTCCAAGGCCGTCCAAACACAGGTGCAGGTCAGGCCTCCATGGGCACCCTTTTTGGCTGAGTAATTTCTTCCCCAGCCTCCAGCCACCTTGAAGCAGGATGGTCACTGATCATTGTTTCCGTCCTTGCCCTTGGGAAAGCCCCTTCAACATTTCCCCCAGCAGGAGCTATGGGGCACAGCTGGCAAGGCAGGTGGGCTTGGCTGGTCCTTCATGTAGCATGTAAGGTTGTGGAAGATTTGCTCTGTGCCAGGTTTGTGTTGGGCAGGCAACCTGGGGGTGCAGTGCCCTCACTACCCCTCCTCTTACCCCCCATTGGCTCCTTCACTGCCCCCTTTCCTCCCACTCATCATTTCCTTCCATGTTCCTTCACCCTTCCCCTCCTCCTCTTACTCGCTCATGATTTGTTCATCCACTCCTTTATCTGCTCACTGTCATGAAGTTCAAGGGCATCCTTTGCAGCAGGCGCCCTGCAGGAGCTGATCTTACCTGGGGGCTGTGAGGACACTGCTGGGTCGTGCTGCTCTCGGTTCCACTGCCTGCAGACAGACATTTGGGGAAACAGGAAGGGGGTTAATGGCAGCAGGCTTTGGAGGTTGAGAAGCCGATGGAGATGGCCCAGCCTCAGCAGGAAAGAAAGACCCCAGAGACTCAGGAACAGTGACTGCAGAGACCCAGGGCTACAGACAGAAGAACCAGATAGAAGCTGAAGTTGGGGATGGGGCCAGGGTGGATGGAGAGGCCTCTGACCCCTATGCCAGGACCCTGGCTCCACTGTACCAGGCAGCTGCTACTTCTCCAGAATGGGCACAGCAGGACTCCCTAGGCTGGACATCCAACCTCCTTCCCCACCCTCTCCCCGCTGGTCTCTCCACACATCCATCTTTACCCTCCAGGCAGAAGGCAGGAGGCCACTCTTCAGGGATCAGCCAGCAGAAGGTTCTGACAACCACTCCAAGACCCCTGATGTCAGGGCTCACAGTTACTGCCTGCCAGTCCCTGCCCACCCACGCCTTCCAGCAGTGGGCTCCTCATTCCATCACAAGCAAGCATCTGACAGGAGCTTCAGACAGGCCATGCAGTTGGGGTGAGGAGGGGACGCGGGGACCAAAGCCATCATTAGTGTCCTTAGAAGAAACTACATCTTCACTGCATGCAAAGCAAAGGAGAACCGTGGTTCCTTCAGAGAAGGTGAAAATCAAAAGCACGATGACAGGTGGAAAGTCGTGGGCTGAGGCTAAGCTGCAGTCATCTCACAGGAAGTGGAGAAAACTGCAGCTGGAAGCTGGAAAACATCAGTGGAAGGAGAAGTCCCCCAGCGCTGAGGGTGCAGAGGAGGTGGAAGTGGCTATAGAGCAATTGACCAGGTGGTCCCAGAACTGCAGGATTCAAGGACCCATCGAGGGATGGAGGGACAGGAGGAGCGTAGCAAGGTTCCAGGAGGAACCTTTGTACTCAGCAGAGCACAAGGCAGCACAGAAGGGCATCCCCTCCCTTCCTTTCCCTTCTGAGGTCTGCACCCAGACCTGCAGGCAGGAAGGCACAGTGGAGGCCTCTCTGGGCTCTTGGGATTTGAACCTCAGGAGCTTCTCTGTCAGAAAGCCCATGGAGGACAAGCTTGCCAAAGGGAAAGACACCAAGGAGGGTCCCCATGTGACCATACCACATGCCTCTGAACCGCCATGTGGGCTACACTGTCCCAGGCTCATCTGGGCACGCACTGGCCCCAGCCATATGGTTCCTGCTCTGCCCTCCCGCCCAGCTATTGGTATCCCACCCACCAGCTCTACCCCGGAGCAAGAAACCCGCTCCCAGCCCTGCAGGCCCTAGCATTGTGTGCCCACTCTCTGAGATGCATCCAGACCCAGCTAGATGCTGCCAGTATGGCAGGGTTGCCTCAGCTGGCCTTGTGCAGTGATCCCCTTACAGTAGCCAGCTTTGTCCTTGCTATTCAGCTTAAAGTTCCCATCCCACCTGTCAGCCTAAGGACCATAGGAGGGACCCTGAAGCCATCCCTAGTGGGAATCATTGGCCCAAAAGGAGAGGCGGGCAGGGCTGGCAGTGACCCAGACTGTGCCGGTGGTGTAGGCTCCTCAGTGTTCTCCAGAAAGAGCCATGTGCTCAGAGCTGACTCCAGGGCTGCCACAGAGCCAGGCCCGGGAGATTGGGACTATAGAAGGCCTGGCAGCTGCAAGAGAGCCTGGGTGACCCGGGAGAGAGGCTCCAAAATGAGCACAGGCATGGGAGAGGGCAGAGGCTCTGCAGTGTGGAAGTAGCTGCCGTGGCCTCGGCACCCAACAGGACCTTTGCCGTAGTCACCAGTACTATCAGGACACGACTTCAGCAGCCATCAGGACTTTAGCTGGCCAGCCCTCCTGAACAGTTCATGCAGTCTCACTGCTTTGCACCTCCCCACAGAATAGCAGAAGCCCTGCCTCTTTACCCTGAGTCTCCCTGTCCATCCCTGAGGGCCCATGTAGCTCGGCCCTCCACTGTGGGGCCTTTGCGTGCCAGTCTTCCAAACCTCCGAGACTCAGCAGGGTGAGCGCTGGTCCCCAAGTCTGGAGAGGTGATATAAATTCACCATTGGGAGAATGTTCCAGGCTCTTAATCCTGTTTTGGACCAGGTTTAAGACCAGTTGCTAGACAGAAGTGAGACCTGGGATGAGAGTGCCTTCAGGAAAGGAACTTGGTTGAGGGCTTGGGGCTTGCCCTCCCTCTGACTAGGCTGCCTGGCAGCCTGTTCCTCGGCTCAAGGCCACCAGTGATCCCTTGAAGCCCCTCCTGCACTTCATGTTCTTCTCCGAAATGCTTTCCCACGTGCTAACACCATTGCTGTCCCACAGTGGGTCTCACAGGCTTGGTGTTGCTTCTGTTGGCCGAGTGTGGTACTGCCGCCTGGCATCATTGTGCGTGTACCTACGCACGTCGCCAGATGAGGGGTCATTTTGTGTCCTTTTCTTTCCTGCTCAGCGTGTGTTTAAACCTTTTTGAACTGCACAAACATACTGGTCCGTCATCTTAGCACTTTAGGGAGGGAGGGCCACATTTAGCTTCTGCTGTCCCAGGTTTCTGACATGGTAGCAGTGGTTTTCTCGGATTCTGTTAGCATAACCCTTGTTAAGTATGTAATGTTACTGCATGATTTTCCTTCCTCTTTGAAATGAATCCGCAAGTATCTGAGCCATGTGCAATGAATGACCTGCTGTAGCTGGTCACTGACCAGGTGACAGGCCATACCTGCAGGCTTGCCTAGAGAGGACTCCAGGCAGTGGTGAGCAGTTCCCCACCCTGGACCTTGTCTAATGGTGGTGTACAACAGCAGTGCTACAGAGAGGGAGCCTGGCCTGGGCAGTGCTTGCTCGGATAGTTTGCTCCTGAGGAGGGAAACTGCCTAACGTACAGACAAGGGAGGGTGGTCTTCATGCCTCAGACTAGGTGACTGTGACCCCAGACCTCAGAAACAGAGCCAGGCTGCACGCTTGGGCTCCAGGGCAGCACACACACTGCAGAGCAGGGGTGTCTAGGGACCGCTGGTGACTGGCACTCCAAGATCCTCAATCTGCTGCCACATGGATTCCTGCTGGGAACACCAAGCCCTGCCGACCACCCTGGCCTGTGTTTTGTTTGTCATGTGACTGCACCCATGTAGTGAGCAAGAACATACATGTTTCTGGCTGTAATTGCAAGGAGAATCCGGTCTCCTACAGAGTCCTGGATGCCACATTCGGGTATATGGATTTGTGTGCACCAATGCCCAGGCGACCTGGAAAGAGGAAGCTCTTCACACCCACACTGTCCTTGCACTGGGACAGAAACTGATGGCACAGGGCCGCTCCAGAAGCCATCCCAGCCCCAGCGGTTCTGAGCTGGGCATGAAGCAGGCCATCGGGTAACCAATGGAACATGGCAGCAGGCAGCTCAGTCTGCTTGGGGCCTGCTCCTCCATCCTCAGCCTCACACAGCTCCTCCAGGGGTGTCATGTACCAGTGCTATTCTGTACACTATGTTCACCTGCAGAAGTGGAGCCCGAGCCTGGGAGCCCTGCATCTAGGCAGATAGGCCCTCATGGAGCCAAAGGAGGATGAGGGCAAGGAGGGTGGTAAGAAGATGATTTGGGTGGGATGCAAGTACTTACTGCAGGGTAAGTAGCTCTTTAATGCGTACAGCGTGTTGGAGAAGGCAGGCGGGGAGGCCACAGCAATGTTGCTGCCTCAGTGGGTGTGAGATTACAGGCTGAGGGCAGCAGGAAAAGTATGGGGCCTCTTCTGGGGCTGTCCCGGTGGCTCAGGCCAGGTGGACACCCATTTGCACAGACCTGCACATGGAGTGCCCACCAGGGCTCCCTGACATGTGGAGACCCCTGCACAGGACTCTGGGCCCGGTCCCAGCAGGTGCCACCTCTGAGCTGGCCACTTTATCCTCCAGCAGAGGCTGCTCTTACCTTGTCTCAGGTAAACCTGAACCTTTCTGGCCCCTCCTGGCCTCCAGCTGCAGCACTCCTGTCTGTTCTCTGCACCACACTTTTGGGCGCCTGGTCAGCACGTGTCTGGTACACAAGACAGTGTTCCCAACCCTTCCTGTACTCACTGCCCCTCCAGCTCTGGCTGCCTACAGTGCTCTTCCCAGCACTGTGCCACCCTCATCCACGTGGGCAAGCCCAGCTGTCCTGTGGCACCAGGCAGCCGGCACTTAGGGCAGACGGGCAGAAGAGGGCATGGCACTCCCAGCAGCACTCAGCAGACTGATCCCTGAAGGACGCCTTGAGCACATTCACACTTCTCGGCCACCCCAGGGCCTGCTCTCCTCCTTTTTGATGGCCAAGCTTTGGGTCTCCCTTACCCTCCCGTATTCTACTCACTCTGGGCTCACACAGAGAGGGTCCCAGTCCCCATCTCCAATGCACCCTTGTCACTGGGTGTGCATGGTCCCTGGTGACCTGGGGCAGGGCCAGCTGCGGTGGGCCTCGAAGTCACCTGTGCGGACGTGGGGGTCAGGTGGGAGGGTCTGGAAGATCACCAGCCTCTGAAAGCCCCTTTCTTCCTCCCCAGAGGACCAGTGCCGGAGTGAGGCTGGGGGTGGCATCCACTGGGGTGCTGGGATCAGTGTCCAGGCAGCAAGGCTGGCAGTAGACACAGCTGGGGTGCAGGGCCTCCTGCCTGCACTGAGCACCAGCAGGAGGCCGTGCCCCCTGGCAGCTGCACTCCTAGGAGGGGCTGATGCTATGGAGAGGTAGAGCTGCACCTGCAGCAGTCCAAGGACAACGTGTGTGGGCCGGTGCAGGTGTTGGTGCCATGGCACAGGTCAAGGTGGAGCATCCCCAGCACCTGACCCTGTCCTCTCCCCACAGGCTCCCTGACCTCCGTGTTTGTGAGGCTACCTTGCGGTGGTGTTGGGGTAAGTAGCTCTTTAATATATAAAATAATGCCCTGTTTGCTCTCAGCGTCCCAGTGGTCACAGAAGTCCCAGCCTTATCTCCCTCCCATTGGGTATTACTGGCAGGCGTTCTCCATCAATGGCCACTGCTGGGTGGACAGGGCCATGTGTGTCTTCAGAGGCACTGAGCTGGGCGCATTTGATCATGGGGCTTGGAAACCTTTCTCGAGAGGTACGTGTGTCATCTGGCACATGTGTGCTCTCGCTCCCGGGCTAGGAGGCTGGCCTCACGTGAGGACCACAGATTCCTCAGTCCACAGCAGCATCCTTGGACAGGATGTGCTTGTCCATGTCAACTCCCCATCCAGAGCTGCAGGCTACACTCCTGGTGCAGTGACCTTGTCACCTGCAGCCATGTGACACCCGTGAAGCAGCCAGCTGGGCTGTGGCAACCTCTATCCCATGTGCAGATGGTGTTCTAAGCTAGGCACGTAGATTAGGCAGGGGATACAAAGGCCTTCCCTCTCAGCCCAGTCCTCTGTCTGCACGAGGCAGACCTGGCCTCCATGGCCAGACCTCTCATTGGTAGCAGGCTCCCTGCACACGCACCTCTTGTGAGCCAGGGGCTGGCAGTGCCAGAGACACTGCAGTCTGCAGGGGACACTGGGCCTCCTGCCAAGCCGAGGTACTGCTGACTATCATGTCCCTCACACCAAGGGCCTGCAGAGGTCACAGACAGGCAAGGTGGTGGCAGCCAACGGACAGCAAGAGCTGTCAGAGCTGAACCTGCAGTGTGTGTAATCACAGGTCCAGGGTGAAGCTTGAGGTCTGGATTCTGTTATGGAAATGAAACAAAATTGTTTTCTTCCTGAGTCTTTACAGAAATCACTGCTTTGAAAATTATCCCGTCAGAAAGAGAATAAATGGCTTTTATTCATACCACCACTGAGCCCTCCCAGAGCTATTTTATTTTGTATTGTAAATAGGCTTCAATCTCCTAATTGAGGGCAAGGTTTTGGCCACACTTAAAAAGATTTGGATTTGCACTGCCCTGCAGCCACCAGGCCTATGCAAGGCAGAATTTATAATTTGCAAATGAAAGCTAAATGTAAGCTCAGACCTGGGGGTTGCACCCAAGAAGCCCCCTCCCTCAGTAAACTAGAACTGAACCATGGGAGATGGCCAGGGCTCCGCCTCACATCGGGGTGTGGAAGCCCACTGGGTACAGGGCAGACAGAGCTAGCAGGCACAGGGGAAGTAAACCACTGCATCTTCTTCAGCCTCCCTTTCTGCCCATCTGCCACACGGTCTCCAGCAGGAAGAGGGCTGGCTTGGGGTTGCTGTACAGCTGCAGGCCTTCTTACAGCACTGGGGCCACTGCTCAGTGTTGGACTGTGTGGAGCACAGGCCCTTCTGCCCTGTGGAGAGCCCCTAACAAGGCTGACCCACTTTTCTGGAAGCACCTTAGCTTGACATTTCCATTGTGGAGCGGTACTTCCAAAGTTAAAACGTCCATCCTCAGCTCTGCCAAATACAGATTTTGGGTTGTTTTGACCTTTACTTTCAAACCAAATGAAAGAAACTTCTGCCTAGTTCACCTCATTTATTGTTTCAAGTTAGTGTGGAATTGGTGTCCCTGGTTTTCTCTGTGATCCCTGGCCTGACTCAGCCCTGCTGATGAATGCAGCCAGGGCCAGGTGTCCCCCAGCCACTTGTGGGCTGTGAGCCTCCAGAAGTGCTGAGATCACCTCAGCCTGCCACCCGTCAGTTGTCCACTTTGCTGCACCTCCCTGTGATTGTCCTGGAGACTTCCTCCACATTTCCCCACCACCTCTTTTCTGCCTCCTCTTTGCGCTTCCCTTCATGTCCATTCCTGCCTCACCCATGCTCAGGAGGTGCAGCCCCTCTACAGCCAGCCTGAGCTGAGCAGCAGCATCACAGGACCACAGCAGTGGGGGATGTTGTCAGGCTGTTCGGTGGCAGTGGCACGGGTTGGCCCTGGCTGTGTCAGCTGTTCCTGACAGGCCCTGTGGGGACCCACAGAGCAAACAGTGTCACCAGTCATCCTCCTTGCTGCCTTTGCTTAGCCTGAGGTCAAGCTGTGGCATTTTGGAAGGAAATCTCAGTCATTTTGTCCTCGCCGATGTAGACACTGCCGCCCCTGGACCTGGCACTGTTGAGTGTAGTGAGCATTCCCCCACTGAAGTACGCAGCCAGCGTACTGTCCCTCTGTTCACCTCAGTGGATACACACTAGTGTAATTTAAAACTGAAGCCGCTGTGAGGGTGTTGGTGTCAGGGCTGCAGAGCAGGGATGTGAGGTTAAAAGCATCCTCTGACATTTGGAAACTATTTAAGAGCGCAGGGATCCAATCACTGAAGTGAGCGACCCTCACTGAAGCAGTACAGGGTGACTTGCTCAGAGGGTGAGGGTGAGGCTGCCTGTCAGGGGCCTCTGGCCTCACCATGAGCAGGAGTCCCGCAGGCTGGGCTGTGCTGGGGATGAGGAGGGCAGCATCTCTGCTCACAGAGTGCTGTCAAGGAGGGTCGCACTGTGTCTGCAGACCTTGCGTTGAAGTTAAATAAGGTTCAGTCACAGCCAGCAGAGCGTTCTCCAGACTGGCACCTTCCAGGAAAGGTCCAGTGGCCCTGCAGGACTTTGCACTCCAGGGACACACTTGGGAGCAGCTGCTCAGGTGCCAGAGGTGGTCAGCCCCAGCCCCACCCGGGTCCCACAGACCTGGCTGGACGAGCTCCTCTCCCATATGGCAGCCAGGACCTGGGAACAGACTCAGATCGTCTGCCCTTTGAAGCAGAAGCAGCTGATGGCTCAGGTCACCCAGGCAGACATGATGGTCCACCTTTCTGCCACACCCAGTCTAGAATAGCGCTCTGCTGGCTAGAGGGCTCGACCGGATGAGCATAAAACACAGCCCCGGTCTGAGGAGGGGGCTGGTGGACCCTTAGTTTCTTACTGGTAGTTATTGGAGTAACTGAACCTCAGCAGACAGTGATCTCGATGTGCTTAGGATTCGCCAGAGTCCGTGGGAGCAGCTAAGAAGGGGTGGGCTTGCTTCTTCCTTCTGGAGCATTCGATGCTCTTCTTCCATGAGGTGCACTTTGGCCTGTCCTGAGCGGAGCAGGGTCCGCCTGGCAGAGAGTGGATGAGGCCACAGGGCCGAGCTTAGGCCTTGGGACCCTCAGGGCGAGGTGACACTGACACGGTGCATTGTTCCCGCAGGTGGACAGTGACACCATCTGGAACGAGGTGCACTCATCAGGCGCAGCTCGTCTGGCCGTGGGTTGCGTGGTGGAGCTGGTCTTCAAGGTGGCTACGGGAGAGCTGAAGGTCAGTCAGGGCTGGCAGTGCTGGACTAGCAACTTTAGTGGGAGGCTGCCCCTGGATCGGGCCCAGAGGGACTTGCTGGCGGCTTCTGTCCAGGAAAAGGATGGGCACTGCTCATGGGGGTGAAAGCATATCTGGGTTTAGAGACCCTCAGAAGTTGGTGCTTGGGACCCTGTGTGCTCCCTACAGTTGCAAGGATCCCAAGTTGCTCTTAGCTCATCGGAACTGTCCACTTTACAGCTGAGACATTTTTAAGGTATGAATTTAAAGTGGCAGTAGTGTCTGGCTTAGTGACAAACAGCTTTATTCCAAACCCTGTGTCTGGCACTGACCTGCTGCCACACATTGCCACCTGTGAAGAAATCCTGGCCACACACATGGTAATAATATTGGAAGAGAGGCATTTCCACAGAGAACTGTGAAGTCTGTCTCATTCTGTGCCACCCACCAAGGGTCTAGAAGGCAGCCGCCATGGGCTCTGGCACATCCTCTGCCAGCCTAAAACCCACTTGCCTTCCTTTGACCCATGGGGCATTTGTAACACTGTAGCATCATTTGGAAAGTAGAGGTCCCAGGTCCTCACATGTACCACACATGCTGTCCTGGGAGAGCGGGAAACTAGATTCGGCTCCTGCAGCTGCTGCCTGTTGTTTCCCTCCAAGTGATAGGCCCCATTTTCCCCGTTTCTGGGAATGGTCCTGGGTTTGCCCAAGGTGGGAGACTGTGGTTTGTGTCTCCTTCTAAGCAGTGTAGAAACCCTGGAGGAGGAGCCAGCTCAGCTGGTCCTGAGCCTCTGCCCAGCTCTCCCTGGAGGCTGCCTGCAGCCTCAGCCACAGAAGAGCCCTGTACACATTCCTCCTGGCTGTGTGGGTGTCAGAGAACAGACGAACAAGGGTGGAGACTTCATAAGGTGTACACCTGTTACAAGCCCATCAGGACATTCTTGAGGGGAACTGCCTTTTGCTCATGAGCACATGGCAGTGAACGCCTCAAGGGCTGGTGCTGCCCTGTGCTGCTTTTCAGCTGCTGCTATGCTACAGCACCATCAGAGCAGTGCAAAAGCCAACAAGTGTCAGGGTTATCGGGGAACACAGCCCTGAGCCAGGGGCACATGGGGAGCATCAGGACCAGAGTGGATTTTGCAATATTGAGTGTTCATCACTTGAGCTTGCCTGTTGACCTCTCCACTGCCCTTGCTCCGTCCTGGGCCAGCACAGCCATCAGCTGCCCTTGGAGGCCTTTTTACAGAGGTGACCATATGGCTTTCTGCTGCGAATGAGACCTGATTGGGCTGTTTTAGGGCATAGCTAGAGCAGTTTGCAGATGACAGTTTCATGTGTGACAGGGTGGGGGCTGCAGCCATGTCACTGTGTACTCCAAAGTATTTTTGGAGTGGGGTACAGCTGCAGCTTTGCATGGTGCCCCCATCCCAGGGTCACCCTTCAGCAGGTCAGGTGTGCCCGCCGAGGCCCAGCTGAGCAGCCTGCTCAAACACGGCCCCTTCCCTCTCACCTGCACTTGGGTCTCCACCAGGTAGCAGCTGCTCAGGAACTATAGGCACCAAGATCTCCTCAGCCCCTCCATGCTGCACAGGTCCCATGGTGACAAGGGCCTGAAGATAGGAAGCCGGGGCAAACTCATCTGTTACCTTAGCACCTAGTGTCCTACGAGCCCTGGGAATCAGCAGGCCCCTTAAGAGTGCAGAGAACTCTGAAGGCTCATGGCCAGTCTTGCATGCCACCCATGGCAGTGTGACCAGAAGGACGAGAGACCACATCCTCCCCTAGGCCCCGGGTCAGTGGAAGGTTACTTGTTGTGGATTAAGCCGCGTCTTTCCTCACTGTCTGTGTCACCTGCAGAATGGCTTTGCTGTGGTCCGGCCCCCAGGACACCACGCAGAGGAGAGCACGCCCATGTGAGTGGACACACAGGGCCGTTGGGCCTGGGGGTATACTCTGCCTGCAGTGTGGCCCTTTGTCCCGTGACTCCCTCCCTTTCCCGAGGCTCTAGTGTGAACCAGTGCATTAGCCTCCCCAGGAGCGTCGTGGGGACACAGGGAAGTGACAGGAACGGGAGGAGGAACCTCCGAAGTGGGTCCAAAGCAGCCCAGGTAGTAGAGTTTCTTGTCAGACTTGAGAGAAGACCTTACCTCTCACAGAGCAAGTGAATGTGGCGCCTGTGACTTAGAGCAGCAAGGGCCGGGCTAAGTGGCCTCGCTGCTGCCTGCTGGGCATGAAGGACGTTGTGGCACCAAGTCAGGTCTGTGGGCAGGCTGGGCTCTGCTTTGGGTCTCCTGGGCACCTGCCACCCACACATCTGAGGTCTGCGTGTGGGGCATGGCTCTGCAGGTGAGGAGAGGCAGCTGCAGACCCCCAACAAAGTCAGCACTGACTGACCCGCAGGGTACACTGAGCACCCAGGGGAGAGCTGCTGTCCTCAGAAATTCCGAGACCACTCCGCCAGCATCTCTGTGAGGAAGGCTATGAGTCCAGCTCTAAGGCAGCTGGGCCCCTGATCTTGCAGGCAGGCTGTGCCTACAGAGGTGAATGGCAGCTTATCAGGTGGCAAAGTGAGGAGGCACTGTGTCAGCGGTGCCAGGCGGCGAGAGCAGGATGGGCCTGGGGTGGGCTCGTCAGGGAGTATAGCTCCTTGCATGCTCCTCCCTCTAAGGTTCCCTTTCCAATGTGCACCCAGGCCCTTGGGCCTTCTGAATTAGTAAGTCTGAATGGCGTGCAGGCTCTTGGAGCCCAGCCGGCTCTGAGCCAAGTCTGCCCGCCAGCTCTTCCCTGTGATTCAGATGGGAGAGTCGAGAACAAGGATGTTGTTGCTTTCTCAGTCTGTTTCCATGGTCTTCCGATTCTCGCTTGGAAGTGATACCCATGTAGCGGCCTTTCATGTCCTAGAATAAGGAAAGATGAGTGTAAGCAGCTGAAATAGATTTCCACCTGCTGTGGGGTGGCGTCCCTCGTGATGGGGGCAGGGTTTCATGAGGCCCTTTGAGGGGCATGGTGCTGCAAATGAGGTGAGGTAGTTGTCCTCCCTGTGAGCGCCAGAAACCTCCGAGCAGAGCCGGGGTGTGGTGTGTATGTGTGTGTGTGTGTGTGTGTCTTCATGACGTGTCTGTGTCATGCACATGGGCATCTGTACGTGTGATCTGTGTGCATGTGTCTATCTGGTGCATGTACATGTATGGTTTGTAGTGTGTCATGTGTGTGTCTGGTTCTGTGTCCAGTGTAAACATGTGAACATTCGTGTGGGGGGGGGGGTTGTCCATGTACCTTTATGTACCTGTGTGGCATATATACATGTGTATGTTCCTATGTGCATACAAATGCCCACGTGTGTGTGTCTGTTTGCACCTGTGCCTCTGTGTGATGTGTATATTTCTTTGGTGTGTGTACATGTGTGTGTGTGTGTGTGTGTGTGTGTGTGTGTGTGTGAATGTGTAGCTGTGTGGAATGTGCGTATGTGTGGTAAGTATATAGCTGATGTGGCATGTGTGCCCCTGTCCGACACAGGCGTATACTTGACGCATGTGTGCCTGTGTCTGTGTGTGGTTGCGCTTGGCTGTGACTGCCCATCAAGGCTCCCAGGATCCCGGGCCTGCAGACTGTCCTCTGCAAGCTGCGTGGCAGCAGTGACAAGCACCTCTGCCTGCCTTCTCCACAGGGGCTTTTGCTACTTCAACTCGGTGGCAGTCGCAGCCAGGCTCCTGCAGCAGCGGCTGAGTGTGAGCAGGATCCTCATTGTGGACTGGGTGAGTGGCTCCTCTCCTATGCGGGCAGGCGGATGCACTTCCTCTGTCTCTCTGGCTGTGGGTGCAGGACTCAGAGACCAGGAACTCTGCCCCACGTCCTCCACCAGTCAGCTGGAGGAGGGCTCCTGCCCTGCCCAGCACAGCAATGGTGGTGGGCAGTGGCCAAGGGCCAGCTTGGTCGGGCCAAGGAAGGCCCAGCCTGACCTCCATGCTGGGACAGTCCCGTGGGAGGTGCCCCTCCTCACAGCCTGCGCCCCCTGGAAGGGCCACTCCACTTGAGCAATGCTGTGAGATCACTGAACCTGGATCCCAACGGCAGCACCCTGGTTCCAAAACTAGAAATGAGAAACAGGCTGCTCACTGCTCGGCCCTTCCCGGAATCTTTTACAGGCATGTGGAGCATTCTCTGTGGGATGTGTAACATTTCATTTTTTAACAGAAACATAAAGGAAAGGTATATCATGTGGGGCAATGACTTACATGACATAAGCCCTTCTCAATTTAAAAAAATCAGCCAGGAGAGCAGCCAGCTCCAGGGGTGGTGTTGGGGCTGTGGGCACTAGGGCTGGGTATGGTGCCTAAGGGAGGCAGCAGAGGCCAGAGTGGGGTTTTCTACACCCACCCTGGGTACCAGGAGCATCCCTCCCCATCGCCTTTGTCAGGGACATGCAGGGTGCAGAGGAGAGGAGCAGGACTCAGTGAATGACAGCATGGCCACATGGCCACATCCCAGGCACAGGCCACAGCGGCAGTGTCGTCCTGCTAAATCACACAGTGGTGTAGGCGGGCTCCTGTCACAGAGCCTTGCAAGCTGGGCGGTGGCTGCTCCTCCTCATGTGCTGCCCTTTGTTTCTGTGCTTTCTAGAGAAGCTGACACGAAGCAGAGCCGCTGGCTGTGCAGCTTTCCACGCCCACACAGCTTTGTGGTCCAGACGGCCCTTCCCATCCTGGGATCACCTCCTGCGTGGCCCGGGCTGGCAGAGGCCATGTTGCCTGTCTTCTGCTCTCTGGTGCCTGTGTCACAAGGGCACTGGGATCATAGGAGTAGCTGGGAGCTGCAGGGTAGGGCCCTGGGCCTGGTTCCCTGCCTTTAGGCTCTATCTCCCTCCTGGTGAAGGCTAAGGAAATGTCTCCCGTGTCAGGGCTCTGGCTGGACCTCTTGCCAGGTCAGAACTGTGCCACGAGGGTGAGAAGACGCTCCGCAGACTCAGACACGGCCTCAGTGTCCCTGCCCTCCCCTTGGGGCGTGGGGAGCCTGTGTGCAGGAGCCACTACACGGTGTGGCCAGGCAGCGAGGCCTGCGCTGAGCCTGTCTCTGCTCTCAGGACGTGCACCACGGGAACGGGACCCAGCAGGCTTTCTACAGCGACCCCAGCGTCCTCTACGTGTCCCTGCACCGCTATGACGATGGGAACTTCTTTCCAGGCAGCGGTGCACCTGACGAGGTGAGTGGAGGCAGGCCTCTCAGGGCAGAGCAGAGGGCGAGCACAGGCGGCACCGCACCACCCACAGCGGAAGTGCACGGATGGTCCTTCTGGCCTGGTCCACCTCATGGTGCACCCAGGCCTGCGTTTATCTGGACTATTCCCCAAGGTTGGTAAGCTGAGGCTCCTGCGGGGAGGCTGAGACAGCTCAGGCTGACCTAAGGTGCAGCCTCAGCAGGCAGCCTCCTCCCAGGCCTCCCTCCTGCCCGGAGCTGGGTGAGGCCCTGCCAAGGTGGCAGCTCCCACCCACCCTCTGAAGGCCACCCACATCTCCCTGCATGAAAGCACGTGGGGGTGGTAGCAGTCACACATACTTCTCCCAGAGGCAGTCTCATGGCCCTGTGAGTGCACAGCCATGTCAGAGTGGTGTTCTCAGGGACGCCCCGGAGAAGCACTGAGAGCACAGCCTTGTGGCCAAGGACACCGATGGGCCCTGGTTCCGTCGGCCTCAGTGTCCTATGGAAATGCTGTCGCTGCCATCAGCAAGCCAGTGCCTGTGGTGACCACAAGTGAGGAGCCCAGAATGTGCCTGGGCACCATCTGTGTCTGCTTTTCCCATCAGGGTCTGTCATGAGCTTTCTCCCTCTGTCCACAGGTGGGAACGGGGCCAGGCGTGGGCTTCAATGTCAACATGGCCTTCACGGGCGGCCTCGACCCCCCCATGGGAGACACAGAGTACTTGGCAGCCTTCAGGTGAGTCTCTGGTGGCACCAGCCTTTGGGGATTGCAGACACACTGCCCTGAGGCCTGGCCTCTGCGTGGACCCCGACGCTGGCCACCTGCCTGCTGTCCCTTCCCGTTCTCGCACAGTCACGGAAGCTCCAGACTGCTTGGTCCTGAGAGGGAGGGAGGGAGACAAGCGGGAGAATTATGGGTGCACATTTTAAAGAGGTCATTATCCAGGGCCTGGGATTTAGCTCAGTGGCGCCGCCTCCTGTCTTGAAAGCATAAGGTCCTGAGTTTGATCCCTGGTACCAAAAAAAAAAAAAAAAAAGGTCATTATGCACGTTTTTCTTCCATGAGCCTTATGTGAGAACATGAAACTTGGAAATAAGTTAATTTCTCCTTTATTTATATAAAAATGGAGGAGCGATGTTTATGCCTTTGTAAAACCACCTCCCTGAAGTTACCCTCCGCCGATAGGTTGTGACTGTGGGGCAACTGTCCCCAAGCCTCAGCTTTTGCTTTGAAGGTGCAGGTTTCTCAGCCAGAAGGGCTGGATGGGTGCACAGCCTCTCCGGGGTCACTGTCACCTCTGTGAAATGGCAGCTTCTACCCATGTGCTCAAGGAGGAGGTTCCAGGGCCAGCACTGCCAGGGTACTGGGCACTCGAGCCCACCAGGCCCCCTGGTCCTGAGCCATGTACATGGAAAATGTGTGTGAACACACGTCTGTCCCTGTAGGTGATCTTCTGTCTGTGACTGTGTAGACACTGCCCGTGTGGCATCCATCTCTAGGGTGTGCACGAATGCATGGGCATGTGTACAGGCATGTGCACCTCTCTGTGTGAGACTGCACAAGGACACGTCTGTGATGTTTTGGCATAGACTGCCACGTGCTCTTGAGACCCTGGGCACATCACACACACACCACTTGGGAAATGGGGTCCTGCTCCCAGGTCCCACTGGAGAGGCTGTTGGTGTCTGCCCAGTGGAAGTGGTCCCTGCAGCTTTAGGAATGTGGGCCCCTTTTGATTAAGTCACAGTGCAGTTCTGAGGGACGCTGGCCACTGACTGGACTTGTAGAGAGAAGTGGACTTTCCTGGTGACGGACACTTAGTGTCCTTCCTCCGAGGTTCTGGTCCTGGTAAAGCCTAACACCAGTGCCCAGCCAGGCCCAAGCACTGTTCTTCAGCCAAACTGGCCAGGCCCAGGTGGCAGCCTGTGAGGTGGCATCTGTCTGGATGTCCCGCTAAGGGCATAACAACCTTTCCTTACCAAGAGAGTTCTTTAACATCAGTAACATCTTCATGAAGGAAAATTGTTCAGGGCTTTTTACTGATTTTAATATAAAGTACCACTTTGAAGTTTACGATTTATGGTTCCCTGGGCATCAGATGGGGAAAGAAGGGTCAGAGACTGGTTCCCTTTTCTTCTTTAGCCTCCCGCTTTGCGGGCCCCTGGGGACAACGTGAGCCTCAAAGGCAGCACCTTGTTATGCAGACCCCTGCCTGCCAGCTTGCATTTTCAGGGGATCAAGCCTCAGATGGAGAGAAGATAAGAAAATTGCCTCTAATGAGATCCAGAAGGGGCCAGCACATTCTCCTCAGGCTCGGAGACTTGAGAAGAAAAGGACCTTAATTCAAGCCAGTCCCAGCACCAGACATGACTTTGAAGTCTGCCGAGGGCAGGCGAGCGCTCAGGCTTGGGCACATGAAATGATGTCCCTTCCTCCGCCCTCCTTAGCAACCAGAGCATGACTCAGCGGCTCCTGTCAGCTGTGAGGCAAAGGAAATTGAGGTCCTCTCTACTCTCACAGCTCATCAGAGACATCAGGGGCAGCTTTAATCTCCAGATGATGGACAGCGGCCTCAGCCTGCAGCCTTGAACCCTGTGGCGTCGCCTGCATGCTGTTGCTGCTGGCAGCCGCCTGCAGTCATCGCACAGCACTGCCTGCTGCGGGGCCACATGTCCCCAATGGACTCTCACTATGTGAAGTGGGCCGGCCTCCCCACCCGACTGCCTTCTCATCTGAAGGCTTTCAAGCCTTGTCCCGTGAAGCCAGAGCACTCAGGCTGAGAAGCATCGTGTTCTGCCATCCCGGGCAGACCTGCTTAGCCCAGCCTGGATATACAAGCAAGAGACAGTGCAGGGTGGCATAGGGCTGCAGGCAGCAGGCTGGTGCAGGTCCCCAAGGGCCCTGCCCACTAAGAGGCCCTGGCTGAGTCCTGGAGGAACAAGTTTGGCCCAGGAGCATTAGGGAAAAAGGCCACTACCCACAGAACAACCTGGAGACAAAGCACCTCTCTGGCCTGCACGCTAGCAGCAGGCCTTTGGCACGGTCTCTGGGAGAGGCAGGAGGGTCTCCTGGCAGCCTGGGCAAAGACGTGGTACCCAAGGTCCAGTGGCTGCATCCGAGAGGACAGAGCCTGCTCAGGGAGGGCAAAGGGTGGGGAGGAGGGGCTACCTGTGTAGCAGGGACAACTGGGTGACACGGGGTGAGGGTGACAGGCCCCAGCAGGGTGCAGACATTGGCCTGGAGGAGGGTGGAGTGTGCTCCACTGGGGACCCTGCTGCTAAGCAGATTTCAGAAGACAGGGCGCGCTGTCAGATAAGAGTGGCAGCTGGTAACCTGGGTGGCACAAGCTTGCTTCACAAGATCAGGACAGAATGTGCTGGGTGTAAGAGGGTGAGAGCCTGGGGCAGTGGGGGACAGGAGCTGGCAGAGACCCACGCAGAGGGAGCGCAGGGCCATCTGAGCCCCTGCCAGCATGGAGCATCCTCACCAGGCCCCCCAGCTTCACACAGCCTGGGGGTGGCTTGAGCCCCCAGCCATGAGGGTGTGGCAGGGCTGGGAGAGCCAGCACACAGGGTGTGCAGGAAGGAGCATCTCTGTCGGCCCAGGGCCCAGCTCTGCCCTGCAGCCTGCTCAACCTCGCTGGCTGCATGGCATGCTGGCAGGGTCCTGGCGGGCACTGCCCACCTCCAAGGAGTCGCACACCCCAGGCTGGCCCTCGCTCGGGGTGTGGGTTAGGGAGGCCCCAGCACACAGGCTCTGGGACACTGCGCAGCCAGTCACAGAGGCATCGCTCCCGCCTACCCTGAGTGAAGATGTGGGTGAGGCAAAACGGAAGTTTTCCGAGTGTCAGTGCCCTCCATCCCCATGGCATCCACTCCCTCCGAATCACAGAGCGGCACTGCTGGCCAGGCTGGTCCTGGGATACAAACACACGCACTTCTGCCTCAGGTCTTGGAATCGATGTGAGAGGGACCCTTAGACAGCAGCAGCACTGATGTGTCAGCTTGGTGTGGGGGGCAGAATGGAGCTGAGATGCCAGGGTGACAAGGCCTGCTCCCTCCAGGGCATGACAGTGGCCCTGCCATCTGGCCATGCACAGGACCCATGTCACCCTGGGTTTGCCTGGGGCTGTGGGTCTCAGATGACACCCTGGTATCTGTGGTGCCCAGGGCGGTGCCCAGTGAGTATCTGCGGGCGTTGGAGGGGCCCTGCCCCCAGTCTGACCACCACCTGGCTTCCATCCAGCCTGCAGGGTGAGTGGACTGAAGACAGGGCAGGGCCCAGGGAGGCCATGGGGAGATGTGCATCACACAGGGCTGCTTTGAGTGACAGCCACCTCTCAGCCTCAGTCCTGCACGTCTGACTCTGGAGTCAGGTGCACTCAGGCACCATAGCAGCCTTCGTCCTCACCCCTGCCCAGTATGCACTGCAGTTAGCTCCGGAAACCTGCGGGACTCACCCCTCTTCCTGCCTCTGAGCAGGTAACTAGCACTCTGCTACCCTGGGAAGCTGTGGGCCTCACCCACCCTCACCTGCCAGGACAGCCAGTGTTACCCCATAGATAGACCCTCCTGAGAGGCAGCTTGAGAGGAGGCCTTGCGAGTGTCTGGGTGTCACTGCCAGAGACGTTGGTCCTGACATAAAGCACCACTCCTCAGTCGCCTCCCTTTTCTTGGCACCAGTTGAATGGGGACATTCTTCATGTCCCCTCCAGTGTGAAGGTCACAGATGGGGCCACACGTCCCGGTGCAGTAGGGAGTGTCCAGTCCTGTTACAGGCAGAGGTCCTGTCGCTGTGAGGAGCAGTGGTGTTCCTTACTGAACCCATGTGACACTGAGACACCCTGAGCACCTCGATCACCTCATGGCCTTCCTGAGCTTTAGCGGTGTCTGCAAGTGCAGCCTGGGGTTACAGAGCCCAAGGCACCCCCCATGTGTGCCAGGGGCCTACAGCCCGGCCACCCCCACAGCCTGAGCATGGGTTTAGAGAGACGCCACATGGGGAGTGTGGTCACAGGGACTCTTGCTGGGAGCCTCACTTAATGATTTCTCTGGGATGTCTGTGGAGAGCATTAGGAGTCGTGTAGCTCATCACTACCTTGAAGCAGAGACCAAAGCCCACCTCTTGCACATGGTTCTGAGTGCCCCTTGAAGTGCCCTAGGAGTGACAGTGTCTACACAGTGTCTGTGGTTTGTGTTAAAACAATGGGTTGGCTCTAAATTCCAAACCAATCATGGCAGACACTGTGTTACTGTGCCCAGAGAAAGGTTCTGTGACAAGAACCTCATTAGTCATTAAAATCAGCCTCCCTGGAATGGTGTGGGCAGTGACACTGGGGAAGGCAGCAGAGGAAGACCAGGACCTGGGGGGCCTACAGCATATACCTGTGGGGCACCAGCCACACCAGCGCTCATGTCCACATCCAGCAGATGCCCCAGAATTTTCCACTTCTGACTCAACCAACAGTGCCCAGCCACCCAGGCAGGATCAGGACCGCCCACACCCAGGCCCACAGGGCAAATGCTTTGTTTAAATGTTATGTACTGTAGGAAACAACAGAGCAAGCCTGGCTCAGGGAAACCTGAGATTAGGACAGGCAGAGCTGTGTGAGCAGGGCCAGGACTGGGTCATCTCTGCAGGGCAGGCAGGGCTGAGTGGACTGGGCCGAGTCATCCCTGCAGGGTAGGCAGAGTGGTGTGAACTGGCTGGAGCCACACGCCCAGGTGGGTCTGCGGAGCACTGCTGTTCTCGCCTGGCTCCCTCTGGGCAGTGGCACCATCACTGTGCATGGCAGCCTTGAGTGTCCCAGCCCAAGATCTCAGTGGCTCCAGGACTGAAATCTGCCATAGAGCCTGAGGCAGCAAAGCTTGCTGACCTGGTCTAGGGTCCCCTGCCTTGTGCTCTTGTACCCAGTGATGGTCCTCAGAGCTCTATCCCCTCAGGGTTCCTTCAGTATACAGGGCCTGCCCTCAGCAGGAACACAAGGAGCCGCAGGGTGGGTGGTGGCCTCGGCACGCTTCTCAGTGCAGGCTGAAGCCTTGGCAGTTACACACCTGCCACACAGTGGCTGCAGGGCAAGGGCGGTCCTGGGCCACAGTGCCCACCCGCAGGTCTCATGCCCAGGCTTCCTGCGGAGTTGAAGGGTCCAGGCCCCCTTCCTTGGCCTGCTTTAGAGGCTTCAGCCCACCTCCCTGTCAGAGTCACTCTGATTCTAAGTTGGCAGCAATGACTCAGAATCCATTATGATAAGTGCCGAACACCCCAGACTGCTTCTATCCTGGCTCTCACCGTACCGGCATGCACTTTGCTGCAGGGCTATCTGAGTGTCCGCCGTGAGCAGTGCAGGGGTTTTGACTTAAGCAGTGGTTTTCCCGCTTTTCAAGTAAAACCCCAGGAGATGTAAACCACTGAGCTTCCTGGTGTCTGTGTTTCCCAGAATTTTCTGAAGTGTGTTCTCCCTTTGCCTTCTGATCGCCCTAAGTGTCTGCGTGCTTTGTAGTTCACCCTCAACTTGTATGTGCTGGGGCACCCGCCAGGGTTCCATCCCTGCTGATGCCCTGAGCCTTCCTGCAGCACGGTTCCCAGTGCCCTGCACTGGGATGGTGACTGCGCTTGCTTGGGTGAAAGTCATGGGAGATGTGTTGTCCTAGTCCCAGGGATGCTGGGGTGGGGACAGGGCAGGAGACAGAAATCCTGGGACTCCAGCTCTGCAGCCTACACAGGTATTCACAGAGGCTGCAGCGCAGGCTTCGGAGACCTCTGTGACACGTGCCACCATTCACCTAGGTGAAATCCCTTACACTAAGTGAGCATTCAGATTCTGCCATGGCCCTTGTGCGGGTACACCCTGACCGCCCGTGTGGTGACCCTCCGTCCTCCCTCCACCATGTCCTTTGCTGCTCTCATGACACCTTTTCCTGTCCTTGCAGAACCGTGGTCATGCCAATCGCCAACGAGTTTGCTCCAGACATGGTGCTGGTGTCATCAGGCTTTGATGCTGTGGAGGGCCACCCCACACCTCTCGGAGGGTACAATCTCTCTGCCAAATGTAAGTCCACTCTGCTTGGCTTGTGACCAGTGTGCTCTGCGTGTCAGGTGACAGAGGGACGTTGCCTTACTTCCCCCCAAAGCTGATAGTGCCAGCTGCCAGTCCCTCCGCCCTAGGACTCTAGGGAGGCAAAGCCACTCTACTGTGGCTGCTCAGACAAACCAGCCCCTGGCCAGTGAGTGATCAGGCAGAGGGCGACAAGTGGGCATTGGGCTCATCAGAGGTGCTGTGGCACTCAGTTGAGATAGATACCCAGATGTGAATGTAGAAATTCCTGTGTGGGCAGCATAGCGCTGACCTGTGTGTACATGCACAGCCAGGAGAGCAGGGCCCCCTGGGAAGCTCAAGGTGGCACAGCCTCTCAGAAGGGTTAGCTGGCTCCGCCCTCAGCATAGCAGAAGCTCTTCACACTCCCCTCAGGCCAGAGGGCCCCAAGCTGGGCACTTCAGCAGATCAGGAGGTCTCACTGGGCCCTAACAGGCATGGCAGTGCCCCACCCCTGGTCCTTGTGGGAAGCACCTTGCACACTGCCACCGCCTTCCCTCCACACATGCGGCCCTTCCCTGTTGCAGGTTTCGGATACCTTACGAAGCAGCTGATGGGCTTGGCCGGGGGCCGCATTGTTCTGGCTCTTGAGGGAGGCCATGACCTAACAGCCATCTGCGATGCCTCCGAAGCCTGTGTTTCTGCTCTGCTGGGAAATGAGGTACAGAGTCCCCAAGGCCCAAAGATGCTCTGCAACCACGCTTGCAGGCCTGGCTGCCCAGGAGCGCGTTAGGCCCTGACCCCCGGAGGCTGTTCTTTTCATTTAGCTCTACTGAGCTCTCTTTCCCACCTGCATAGTCACACTGTCTCAGTGGTAGAAGCCTTTGGTGGTGTCCAGGAGGAGGAGAGAGGGCCTGCAGAAAGCATGCCCTGCACAGTCTAGGGCTCTGTTGCATGTGCTCATTTGGTTTATTTGCCTGTTACGTGTGCAGCGTCCAGGATGCTGCGATGGAATGCTGCTGCTTCCGCTAGTTCCTCCCCAGGCAATTCGCCTCTAGGAAACGCTCGGGCTCAGTGGCTCAAGGCCACCAGGGCCTCTCTCGAGCAGCCTGTGCTGTACCTGGGGTAATTCTCAGGTCTGGGCTCTGCTGTGCTGCCTGACACCTCAGGATCAAGTGTGCAGGCCGGAGCCCTGCACAGCCTTGGAAAGCCAGGTCACGCCCAAGGAGTGAGCCCCACAGAGCTTTTGCGCCCAGTTGCGGGGGGTACGCTCCTTGCATCCGGGTTCCCAGGGTGCCAGTCTGCATGGCTGAGAGCTGCCTGGTCGTGGGCTGGGCCTAAGGCAAGAGCTGTGGCACCCTTATTAGTACAGCCAGACTCTCTGTAGCCTGTGGCAGAGCTGAGGGTGCCTTTCCTTCTGATCCCCAGAACAGGAAGTGGGCTCCACCCCAGCTTCACGCCTGCCTTGGAGGCATTCCAGATGCTGTGGGTACCCACCCAGTCCCTCATCCTGGCACACACCGTGCATGCCTTCATGGTGCCCTGAGAATAGATGGCACGGGTCGCTGGAGGGGATCATCACATGAGCACACGCCCACCCAGGCTCTGTGCACCCAACACAGGCAGCCTTGCTGCAGGAACACAGTGCACACATGGGAGCAGTCCAGCACTCAGCCTCCACTGCCCCCTGGGCTCTGCTACCCGGGCCTCCATGGAGGTGGGGCTGTCTGTCCCTGGGTGTCACTCATTTCTGGAAGCTCTGCTGATGGGACAGCATCTCTGGCTGGTATTGTGGAGCCCCGGATGTCCACAGTGCAACCCACGCTCAGGGGCCTCCTCCAGGATGCGGAGCAGGTGCAGGTGGAGGAAAACATCTGAGTCCCCCAAGCATCATGCTGCTGGGGACAGGTGTATCTCTGGGGGCCTGGTCTGGACCTGTCATCCTAGAAGGTACAGAGTGGAGACAGCCATCCAGCTTGCCCCTGGGTTACAAGCCATTGCAGAAGGAACCCCATCCTTCCTCCATGACCTCTGCCCTCCACTTCTTGGAAGCAGTCCCTTCCTGGGCGGCTGTGAATGTTTTGCTGTTGGGTATCACTTGCGCAGTGACAGGGGCTCACTCTGGAGCTGGGTCCTCCTTCAGGCCGAGGTGCATGGGAGAGGACAGTGAGGACCTGCTCTCCCCAAGGCCTGTACACAGCAGCAACGCACAGCCCCAGGGGCACAAATCCTGCTTCCTAGCACTTGTCACCCTCCCTCTGCTGGGTGGTTCCTGAGCTAAGAACTTGGGAGGCAGAGGTGTGTCGCCCCTGTGACCCCTGCTAGCCATGCCGGGCACTGCAACAGACCAGGAATAGCAGCTGAGCCCAGCTGTCCTACAGTACCACAGGCTGCAGCCCAAACTGGCAAGCCAGGAGCCAACAGAGGCCACAGCCCTGCAGCTGGCATGGAAATCAGTGGGTGTCCCTGGAGAGGAGGACGGCTTGATGACATGAACGGGGAGGAGACACCCAGGGCAGGGGCCATAGCATTGTCAAGAGGCCAGACATACACAGCCCCACAGGGACAGTGAGGGAGAGGGTGCACATGGACCCAGACCTTCCAGAGCTGGGCGTGTGGCCTCCGTGATGCCTCAGACTGCAGGGCCCTTCCCAGAGGTGAGGGAAGCCCCCTGGCCTGAGGATCAGGAGAGGGGACCCACTAAAGGCACAACCTGCTGACCACCTACATCGGGTCCTGAGAGGGCCATTGGTCCCTGTTAAGTCCAGACAGAGCTGAGAAGAGGAGCAGAGTTCAGACAGCACATGGCCATCCGGTCCCAGCCAGGAGGGCGGATGGGGCCAGAACTAAGCCTGCCACTCAGCCCCTTCTTCAAGGGGATGCTGAAGCCAGAGGCCCTGGCCCCAGGAGTAGGGCTGCTACTCAGTGCCAGGTGGGCTCCAGTGACTGCCTCCGCCTGGTGGGGTCTCTTAAGGTGGCCCAGCCTTGGTGAGCGCTGCACTGATGGCAGAGGCCTGTGGTGACAGGAGGCAGGGCTAAGCTGCTTCCTCTCAGCAGGGTCCCTGTGTTGGAGCAGCTGTGTGGATGGTCGTTGGCACTCACTTGAGACCCCATAGAGTGTGTGCCTGCAGCGGGACCTGGTCAGCTCCATCCTCTGATAGCCTGGCCTCATGGCGGGCAGTGTGCGTCCTACAGTCGGTCAGGCACACCACAGAGCCAGCACTTCACGTGCTGGGGAACAGGCGGTGGTGCCCTGGCAGGAGTCCCAGTCTGCCTTTTAAACCTTCGAAGTGTTTACCTGTCCCCTCCGCATGATGCCGTCTCCCCGTTGCCAGAGTTCAAAGGCAGCAGACATGCTCTGCACTCAGCACTTTTAAGCAGCAGTGGAGAGCTTGGCTTCACCTGTGCCTGCTCTCACTTCCTGCCTTTGGTTTGCTAGTAGGAAACTGCTCTTTTACTAAAACACATAAAAAAGCAGGAAGCGCTAGTTGTAGCAGGAGCCCTTTAAAAGTCTCTTTAATGAGCCCGAGTTGGACAGGCCTGTTCTGCTCCCACAGCCCCTGGTGAGAGTGGATACAGTGTGCTGGCCGAGGCCCCTCAGGGATCCCCTCTGGGTAGACAGCTGCGACAGTACATGGCCTGGCACATCTCCGCCCTGCCGACCAGGCGCTTCGCTGGGTGGGCTGGGCTGAGGAAAGGCCATCAGCTGTCAGTGGTTCATGTGGCAGCCGCCGTCACTCTGCCTAGACCCAGGTGTGTCTGGAGTTGCCAGTCCACCATCTGCTTGGTGCATCCTGCTCATGTCTCCTCGCCAAGCTTGCCAACAGCGACACTCCTGCGGTGGTTCCCTGACCGGTTCTGACCCCTGCTCTGAGAAGCGTGTGAACCCCTCCCTCCCCACTCCCCACACAGGCCCAGACTCACCTGTGCTGTTCCTCCTGAAGCCCTGTCACTGGGTGTAGGATTCAGGCCACCGCCACTCTTGGTGAGCTGATGTCCCGTCACTGCAGAGCCCGTTTTACACTGCCTGTGGGTTCCCCTGGAGTCTATACTGGCGTCTAAGATGTCACCAACCGCCTGGTGGCCCATCCACTCCCATCCCTGACTCCAGCCTCATGCTCAGGCTTGTTACCATGTGAAGCTGGACTCTGTTAGCCTTTTCACATCCAGTCCCAACAGCCTGTGCGCTGAATGGAATCGGTCATTTCCACTCTGACCACATGGTCTTCAGATTCATTTCCACCACCTTTGTTCTTGGCCTGCCCTGTTTTCTCTAGCTCTTTCCTCTTTCTTGCCTTCCCTTGAGGTGGATGAGGCTCACTGCACCCCATTTGCTTCTGATACTGAGTCGGAAGTTTTGCAGCCATCCTTTGTATTCCTGGAGAGCCTGATAGCTGCCAGCCCAGCCCTATGTGCCATAGGCAGGGTCCCCACTCACTGGGCAGCCAAAGCCTGCACCTGGCAGGGCCCAGGCTGAGAAGGGGATACCGCTTGGACAAGACATTACTGCTCACCAGAAGTCAAACGTGCCTGGAGCCCTGGCCAGCCGTGACCAATAGGAGCATTGCCTGTTGCTTTAGCGTCACTGATAGACAGCGACTTCACGGTTCCTCCTCTGTTTATTTGGCTTTGCGGCCCTTGAGTGTTGTCTTTTCTCCTCATCCTTGTCATTTTCCAACCCATCTCCTAGGCCCCTTTTCATTCCTCTGTGGGGTCTCTTGGAAAGAACTCATGTGGTCAGTGTCCCAGCTTGGTTAAGGTTTTCTTAGTGACAGTCTTTTCTCTTGACACACTGATGGTACCAAGCTGCTGTGCCCTTGCTTACCTTGCTGTGAGAAGTGTGCAGCTCATTCCCCGTGATGGCCATCGAGCTGCATGTCTCACGCGTCCGGCACTCCAGCTGCATCACCATCCTCTGCCACAGGGCCCCCCTCTGTCTCTGTTGGTGGCCAGCTCTCGGTCTTCCCTCATTTCTCCCAATTGTGATGATGTCACAGAGCCCTGGCCGAGGGTGGCACTGCTGTCCCAGTTTGTGTCTGTCTGAATCTGTTCTCCATCTCTGGTCTGCACTGCACATTGGCTGTCTGTCTGCACTGGGGACAGACAGGGAGCCACCGAGATCCGCCTCCTAGAGGGGGGCTGTGTCTCATTTCAAGGAACATTTGTCTCTTTTCCCTCATTTACTTATTTGGTTAGTTCTTTACTGCTGCCTGAATTCTTGGCTCTTTACCTTGTGCCTCGGGTTCCAGGCCTGGCCTGTGGGGTTTCTGTCATTGCTCAGCCTGTTGACCATGGCTGTGGTGCCGTTGCAGTTGCCCCATGTGACCTGTGGGTCACGGTCGCTCATGTCCTGGAGCTCGTCCTGACTCCGCCATGTGCTCCAGGGCCCTGGCCAAGCTGTTGCTCACAGAGCCCTGTCCTCCTGGCTGAGAACCATGTGGGATGCCCTGGTGGGTTCACCTGGACCGACCCACCACCCCTCCATTTGTGGCTTTGACGGCACACATTTCCTGGAGTGAGGCAGCAGTGCCCACACACAGGCTTGTTGGGTATGGTCCCTTGGCCTAGATGCCCTGGTGTGTGGAGCCTGCCACCACAGTCACAGCGGTGCACCTTCTCAGGTCAGGCCTGCAGCCCTGTGGGGCTGTGCTGACTGCCACAGAGAGCCAGGGCTGAGACCAGAGCCTTGGACCACCTCAGGCTCACCCCTCCCCACAGCATGGCTGCCACCATGCCGGGCCTTCTAGGAACTCATGAATAAGCTTGACAGTATCCTAAGGAGATATCCATGGAATAAAAACCAGCTTTTATTAAAAACACATACAACAGGGGAGTTAGCTCAGTGGTTCCACCGCCTTCCTCGCAAGTGCAAGGGCCAGAGTTCGATCCCCAGTACCAAAAAAAACCATACATACAGACACCAAAGCTGTGTATGGCCTGACTGCCTCTGGAGACACATGCTCTCTGCAATCCTCTGCTGTAGCACACTCATGGATTGCCTTGTCTCCCTTCATGCTCATCATTGTTTGTGTCTTTTTCCCAGCTTGAGCCTCTGCCAGAAAAGATCTTACAGCAGAGACCCAACGCCAATGCTGTCCGCTCCATGGAGAAGGTCGTGGAGATCCACAGTAAGTGGCCACCAAGTGCATGGGGATGGCCAGGCCCGCACAGGCCTCACTGCCCACAGGCGTCTGAGCTGGGGGAGACCATTTCGGTCCAGTTGGTTGTCTGAGATCATGCTGGGTGAGGTCCTTGTCCTGTTTTGTAGAGCACAAGAATGGGGCTCAGTGGCAGGCTTGGCCCCAGCTGTGCGCCAGGCCATGGGTCTGGTCTCTGCTCTGAACCCTGCTGCCAGCGGCAGATCCCCCATGCTCACACACTGTGCCCAGTGCTCCTGTCATGCCCTGTCTGTGCACAGAGCCCATTGTGTCCAGGCATGGAGGTGCCTGGTGGGGTGAGACCACCCTTGTGGGCAGTGACACCAGGGGCCTGCAGTCTGCTCTGGACAGGGCCTGGCCTCCAACACAGCCCAGGCACTCAGGCCCAACACAGTGGGGAGGTGGAGCCAGGGGCAGGGAGGTCAGGGCTCTCAGGAGGCCCCTGCCAGGCCCAGGCGGTCGCGTGACAAGGAGACTTCTGAGCCGTACCCAGGGGCTGTGGGTTCTAACCCAGCCGCTTCCTAACAGCATGAGTGGTCTCCCTGGGGCCCCATAGACCGTGCTCACTGAGCCTTGCCCTCCTTCCAGGTAAGTACTGGCGCTGCCTGCAGCGTGTGTCCTCCACGGTGGGACACTCGCTCATCGAAGCGCAGAAATGTGAAAATGAGGAAGCCGAGACGGTAACCGCCATGGCCTCGCTGTCCGTGGGTGTGAAGCCCACTGAGAAGAGGTGAGTGCCGGCCCCACCTGCCTCTGTCACAGGGCCTTCCTGCAGGTTGGGACAGACCCTGAGGTGCAGCCCACCACAGACGGGTGCGAGGCCCTCTCTCCTGTGTGCCAGTCTCCTCCGAGTTGCTGGGTGGGTGGGACCCTCAGCAGTGCCCAGCCAGGTGTGGGCAGTGCCACCCACCACACGCCCTGCTGCACCCTTTCCCTGCACAGGCCGGATGAGGAGCCCATGGAGGAGGAGCCACCCCTGTAGCGTCCTCTTGAAGCTGCTGTCCCTCTTTTGTCTGTCTGTCTTGAAGCTCAGCAGGAGACTTTCCGTGTTGCTCGTGCGTCCTGCGCGGGCTCTGAGCACAGGGACGCCAGGCTTGCAGCGGCGGCAGGAGGCCTTTCCACCGCCCAGACCGCAGGTCTCAAGAGGCACATGCACACCCAGCGTGGCAGCCTCTCGTGGACATAGGACGCTGACGATGTGGAAGCCAAGCACACTCGGGCATTCCCCGGGAAGCCGCAAAGGAAGCCCCTGCGGCAGCTGGGGCAGAGTTGCTGGATTTAGTTGACACGAGGAAAGGAAAAGTGAAAATCAAAGATCTAATAATACAAAACAAACTTGATTAAAACTGGTGCTTAACGTTTGATTCTTACCCACAGTTCTACAGTCTCCATGTAAACCACTCAGCTCATCTTGTAGCTTATTTTTTTTAAACAGAAAGTTTTCTATGGCTCCTGCCTGCCCATGCACCTCAGCAGCGCACCGTGAGGTTTGCAGATGGGCAGGGGTAGAGCTGGAGGAACCTTTAAAGACAAAACTGGACAAAGCAAGCGTGAGCCTGGGAGTCAGCCTGAGCTTTTCAAAGCCATTGGAAGATACGAGTTTGTGCCTTTTTTTTTACTGCTCTGATGGATTTTTGTGGCTGGGTTTTCTGAAGTCTGAGGAACAATGCCTTAAGAAAAAATCAACAGCAGGGGTCGGTGGGACTATTTCCTGTGGCTGGGAGCCCACGGCGCTGGCCTGGTGCTCCACAGGCCACACCAGCGTGTCTGGAGCTCCGCGTCCACGGCCTTGCGTGGCTTTCCTGCTGTTTAGCAGAAGTGGAGGTTCCAGGAAAGCGGTAAACACTGTTGGGGGTTTTGAAGTCCAGCAGATTGTAAACGAATCCAAAGTGTTCTTTCTCACCATCACGTAGCAGCAAGCATCTCCATTGGTCGTGAAGCATGTCGTAGACACCGCAGTGGTGCGATCGGAATGCCTTCATCCAGAGCAAGCAGCATGAAGCATTGCTTAGCTAGGTATAAATAAGTATATGTATATGTATAATGTATACCCCAGTGTATCCCACGCTAAGAAACTTGATTCTTACGAGGTCTTGGTAAATATTTATATGCATTTATAGAAAAAATATATATATAATAAATGCAGATTGCGACGGTCCTGGTGAGTGGGGGGCTCGTTGCAAGCCCCTCGGTGCTTCGCAAGAGCGAGGAGGTGCGGCCATGGCCGCCAGCCTGTCCATCCCGGGCAGCTTCTACCCATTTGTACTTTAATTTTAATTATTTTCTAACAGAGGCCCTGTCCTCTCCATGCCTCCATGCACATATGTACCTAATGAGTTTTTATAGCAAATGATATAAATTTGCTGTTGATTTTTGTATGAGTTTTTCACTAAAAGATCTAAATAAGCATTGTTTTGTGAATTTTACATTTTTTTCTCACCATTTCTGAATGGTAATAATGTCTAAACTGTTTTCTAAATTCTTGATTGAACATTTTTTTAACTTTGACAGTTTTTTATGATTTGTTTTTGTTTGTTCTGTGCAGTGCGCAGGCCGCTGTTAGAGCTGACTTTCTGAGCGTGAGCATCAGCAAGGTCAGCACCTGGGCCTTTTGGGGCGGTACCAGCTGTGCCATCTCCTGGCCCTGTCCCAGGAGCTGTGCTGAGCAGCTGGGGCCCCCGCTTCCTGCAGCACTTGGGGTGTCGAGGTGTTTTCCTCTCCCCAGCAAGGCCTACAGCTGCAGTGGGCCGGAGTGCCAGTGTCAGTGGGCCGGAGTGCCAGTGTCAGTGGGCCCGTGCCGCGTGTAGACTCTAACCACTCCAGCGGGTAGAACCCGGCCCCGTTTCCCAAAGACCCTTTATGCGTGTCGGCGGTGCATGGCCACGCTGTCCCTGCGCCCATTCTGATTTCTTCCGCAGCCGCACGGCTGGGGCTCTTAGGCACCAGGAAGCCAGGGCCTCACCACCTGCCCAGCCCGCAGTGTGAGCTTCGGGAGGGCCGCCAGGCCTTGTCTTTCTTTCTCTTTACAGTGACTGACAGCCACTTTTACTGGTAACTTACTTTCTAGCACTTGAAGCCACCAGTTTCATTCCAAAGTGTGTCGTAGTTGAGACTTGAGGGAGGAGGTTCAGATGCTCAGGAGGGACCCCAAGCCAGGTTTCCGATTTTGGTGAAGTTTACAGGGTAGGCACTAACTCAGCCAGACTTGTGCCGGGTGAGTGCACCTTCTTGGAGTCGCAGTCATGCTGCCCTTGGGCAGTGCCAAGTGGTGGTTGGTTGGAGCAGGGCAGAGCAGTCTGGGCATGTCTGACTGACCCCTCCCTGCTGGCTGCTCTCAGCTCCAAAGCCAACCTCGGAAGGAGGCGCTGCCGCTGCCATGGAGGGCCGCCCAGGCCCTTCCCACTGGTGGCACTGCAAGGTGCCAGGGCCAGGGCCAGCGCCAGCTCCTCCAGCCACGCACCCTTGTGGCCCTGTGCCCACATGGTGCCCGGGAGGCCACATCATTTCACTGTGCTTTCAGATGGGGTAATGTGGGCTGCTGAGTGGCCAGGCTGTCGCTGCAGCACAAAGCCTCCCCATCTGGCTCAGCGGGGGCCTGGTGGCCACAGGCCTCCCTCGCCAGCACACCCACTCCACAGCGTGCTGCAGCCACTACCGTGTAGCCTTTTCTTTCCTTTGAAGACACACTCGGCCCATGTCCACAGCCAGCAACAGGCAGGTGGCAGGCATGGCCGTGGCCCCTGTGGATGGGACACGGCAGGGAGGGCTCGCCACACATCTCCCTACTGGGCCTGGGGCCTTTGCCTCTCTCTTCTTCTGCAGAGGCTGGAGGGCACTGGCCGGGAGTCAGAGCGAGCACTTTAAGCCTTTAGTGGAGGGAAGCCCTGGCCAGTGACCCACACTGGCATCACCCTGCCGGGTTTCCCACTGCACGTGCTGTGCCCACACCCCACCAGCAGGTGGCGCCACCTCTGGGATGGCACCACCTCGCGGGCTCCCACTCCGGGGCCAGTTTGTTGAAGTGTTTCAGTTTTTCTTTCCTTTCAAACTTTTCCAAGTGGAAGGCCGTGGAGTCTGATGTTGCGGCACTGGCCATGGACCTGGTGTTTCTCTCCATCGGAGCATTCCTCCATCCCGGCCATGGCCTCGTGCTCATTCCTGGTTTTGTAGACTTTGGGCCCACGTGTTTCATGGGCATTGATACATATATAAATATAGAGATATAAACATATGAATATATTTTTTTAAGTTTCCTACACCTGGAGGTTGCATGGCCTGTACGCCCGGCATGTCTTTATATTGTATACAGATTTTGCACGCCAAACTCGGCAGCTTTGGGGAAGAAGAAAAAAAAATGCCTCTGTTCCCCTCTCGTGACATTTGCAGACAAAAAGATGGAGATTTTTCTGTAAAACAAAACAAAACAAAACCTTGACGGAGAGGAGTCGGGCGGGGGGAGGGAGTTTGAGTCTTAATGAACTTATTCTTAAGAAATTGTACTTTTTATTGTAAGAAAAAAATAAAAAGGACTACTTACACGTTTGTCATACTAAGGGAGAAAGTTCACCTAGCACTTGTGACATACCAGTAAGAGAGTTTATTGTATTTCCGTGGAAACAGTGTTCCAGGGAGACTACAGCGCTCAGAGGAGCCGCCTGTCTCCCGAGTTGATTTGGAGGGGTTTGATTTTGTTCAGTTTTTGTTTCCTTTTTCTCTTGCCGCAGGGCCCGCCACATGCTGCTGGCTGCCCCGGCCCTGTGACCGTTTACTCTGATTGAGAAGCGGGGTTCCCAAGGGCCCCCTTCCCAGCAGCCCGTGTGGTGAGGGCCCAGAGCTGGCCTGCCTCTGGCGTTGAAGTCTCCTCCTGGAAGGACAGACGGCTGTTTCTGTGTTTCCTGGTGCGTGTCCGCCACCGTGGAGGCGCCCTTTTTTGGTTGCAAGGTGACACGCGCACCTCTGCACATTTCCTCGTGGGGCTCGCAGATGTGGCCTGGAGCCCCGCTGTTCCTCTCTGCTGTCTGGACCTCCCCAGTCCCTTCTGCTCAGTGGATTTGGAGGTCTTGTTTCGGTTTTTTTTCATTCTTGTTTGTTCTGTATGAGTGAAGCTTCGCTGACCAGCGGTGTCCTCCTCCAACAGTCAGCTTCTCTTTCCACCTCCCGGAGTCCAGTGCTTGTACCACATTGCACACTGTCACTCTTGTGGTGTAAATAAAGACTGTGTTCTTTGCCTCCACCTCTGCTCTCTGCCTTGCGCTCTTTCTCTTTAGCTCTGTGTGCCTGGGACTCTGCGGGACTGACCGCCATGCTGGGGAGCTGAAGGCCCTGGGGACTGACCCCCACATCCGGGAGCCACTGGGACCCAGACCTGGTGGGGAACCTGCCCCCTACTGTGGGCAGCAAGGCATGGGTGTCTTCGTAGTGACCTGAACCATTGCACTTTTCTTTCCCAGAATGCTTTGTGAGCCATGGTGGGTCGGGTTGGAGCCAGATTCAGAGAGGAGTGGGGCTAGAGCAAGGGCAGCACCTCCAGCACCTCTGAGAGGTAAATCTGCCCACACTGATGACAGCCCCTGGTCACCTCACAGCCTGGTGCAGCCATGGCCCTTCCTGGGCTCCACACTACCTGATGAGTCAGTTCTGGCGGATTCTGGCTACAGCACATCTAGGGCCCCCGAGGCCCAGCCTGCACCTCCTGGCCTGCCTCCTGCTCCTGCAGGACTACGTCCTCCCTGCCCATCACCCTGCCCACCCTGAGGGCCCCCCAGCCCTGTGCTCCACCCCACCAGCCTGCTGTCCAGGAGCCCAAGCCCAGAAGAAGCATGGGGAGCAAGGCCTGCCAGAGCCGCTCAAGGCAGAGACAAAAGAAATGTCAGAACATTTATTAGTGCCACCAAGCAATGGCTCACTTGCACAGGGGACGGGAAGAGGAGACAGGCAGGATGTGCTCAGGGGCTCTGAGTCAGGCTTGGTGTGAGCCTGTGGGTGCACTGGCCTAGACAGAAGGCTCTCGTTCTCCCAGCACTCCCCTCACATGGACAGGAAGGAAGTGGAGCCAGGAGAGTAGGGGACAGGACCGGACAAGACAGGCAGCCCTTGTGCCGCTTCCTCAAGACTGCACAGGGCTGCCGGGCAAACTGGACTGTCTTCTCTAGGAATTACTTTTAAGGGTTGTTACAAGCTTTCACAGTCACCTGTTGAAAGCAGGACTGTGGCTGCTGCATCCAGGAGAGGCTCTGCACACGGAGGACTAGTGCTCTTCGCATGTCGCCGCCAACCTCTCTGGCAAAGCAAGGCTGTGACCCTGGCCAGAGCTGCTCCCCTTCACCGGCACCACTACGTCGGTTCTGGTATAGCTCTCAACGGCAGATCTCAGAATTTGTGTGTCCAATAAGTGGCCTCCCCCGAGAGCTGAGCCTGACTGCAATGATGGCCCCCACACAGTCCCCACAATCGGTGGCCTGTCTTCTTGGGGTAGCCTGTGAGCTCCAGATTCCTCCCCCCAACAAACATCTTCGCTGGGGGCTCCCTGGTGGGGCCCTCAGCTCGCCCACCAGGGGGTGCTAGTGTTCCTGCAGGGGTCCCCTTGTACAGGCCCCGCCCACTCAGCAACCAAGTCTCATCCCTGCCTGCAGGGCCTGGTCCTAGGAGACTCCAAATTGATGGCTGCTTTTGTTTGCATTAACTGTATAAGCAAGGCAAGCTGCACAAAAGCAGATATTGAGGATCTGTAAACAAGACGGACAGAACCCCACAAATAAGACGGGGCTGTCATTCCTCACAGCCCCTAGATAGGTAGCTCATTAAACAAGGACTATTGCTGGGTGGCATTGCTCCAGGTCTTGCCAGTCACTCAGCGGACCCGCCAGCCTGTCATGTGTGGTTGAGTTGTGCAGCTGAACTGAGGCCCTGGGCTCCCTGAGAGAGGGCCAGGCTGTGGAGGGGCGGCTGGTACCCTGCCCCCTCCCTCCAGTTGTTGGCAGCTCCTCTCCTCCCACAGAACCCTTTACCCTCAGAAGCTGTGGTCCATTCCCAGGGAGGAGGTGGAGTCCGCAGGCTCTGCTAGGGGCTGCAGCCACCCTAGGGAGCCCACCTTCTCCGTGTGTCACTTGGCTGGTCAGCTTTGCCTCCACACGAGTCCAAACCTGGTGCTGCCTTGCCCTGGCCCACGCTCCCCAGCTAGTCCCACACTGGCTGACCCAGAAGCATCTGCTGTCACCCAAAGGGACCATGACAGCCTCGTGGCCACACGCTGCTGCCTGCTGGGCTGTCCCTCAGGACCTAGAACCAACCCTGAAACCCTTTCGTCCCTTGGACCCAGAGATGAAGATTAATTTCCTCGGAGGTGGGAAGACATCAGGTGAGTGCCTGTGTCACACTTCTCAGCTCCTGGCCCCATGGTTTGTGGATCAGATGCGCAGGGGATTTTAGATACATTTGGAATGCTGAAGTTCTGTCCATTTTAAGTCTCTAATATCTTCTGTCTTCAGACTTTACTCTCATTCTGAAGGAAAAGTCAAACAGTGCAGCTGCTTAGCCCTGCGAGGCCCTTAGGGCTTATTACAAAGGCAAGGAGAAACAGTATTTTCAAACAAGTTAGCATAAAATACATTCTAAATCTCTCCTTCGTCTGTGTCTCATCATCCTAAAACTGAGCTGGGCCACAGCCGGACAGAGGAGGAGGAGGCCCATGACCCTTCGAGGCTGCTCCAGTTCCCCAGGGCAGAGAATGCTGCTGTGGGGAAATGTGCCTGTCCTGAAGCATGAGGTGCCCGTCCACTTGACAGTGCCAGGGCACATGGGTCCAGTTCTTACGACCCAAACCACCCAGCTGATCCATTTGCAGACAGACACTGAAGGCCCGAGGCTGCTCCCTCCCTGCATCCCCTCACCCCATTTCTACCCCTCCTCTGTCCTGACTGTCCACCAGTGGGCAGCGGCTCCCCAGGAGGGCGGGATTGCCAGCAGAGAGGCAGGAACATAAGCAGGGCCCCAACAGAGAGGTGGTGCTGCCCACCCTTCCACAGAACCCAGCACAGAGCCACCCACTGTGTGGCCCAGGTGGGCATCCCAGTGGGGCCAGAGTTCTGAGTCTCCAGTGTCCACAGACCATACGCCATTACCTGAGCTAGGAGGAGACGGGGACAGACACAGGGACAGGCACACCCCAGGCAGAACAGAGGCCAGCAGGAACAGGGGAGTGGCACTGGGTTAGCCAGTACACCGCCTGGAGAGAGGCCACTGTGAGGCTTCGCATCATGCACCAAAGAATATTCCAATTGCGCTCAGCACGTGACAGCCATGAGAGTGTGCACAGAGCCAGCTGCAGGTGTGCAAGGCTCTCCAGGAATAGCAGGACTGAAGACGTTTCCAGATGTGACTTAGCATACAAAGAGGGCAGCCTGGAAAGGCAGGCACACAGCGTGGGGCTGGCCCTGAAGTGTCCAGGGAGCAAAGGGGGCAGCCAGGCTGCACATGGGAGACAGCACGGGCCAGGCAGCGGTGACTGCGGTGGGTGTGCAACAGCGGCATCAGTACCGCTCTGGCTCCCCTGAACACCTAAAGTTGTCCACAGTGCAGAAGGAAGCAAAGGCAAGAAGTAAGGGCTCACAAAGGAAGAGTTCAAGGTGCCACCCTATAAAAATGCCCCCTGTCCCAAGGAGGCAGTCGCCCGCTCTAAATAAAGGGAGCGCATCAGACAGCTCAGTGAGGAGCCCAACCCGTGCCGCACTCACACAAAGGAAGAAGTCCCAGGCAGCCCAGGAGACGAGACACTGCTGGAACACCCACTCAGGAAGCCGGGGACCCTGGTGAGCGGCGTGAAGCTTGAGAGTGAGAAGGGAAAGCATCCTGGGACCCAGATATGTGACCTGAGCTGCCGGAGCCACAGTGGATGGTGGCCACTCAGCCCACCTGGAGACCCCTGCGGGACACACTTCCGGCCCATGTCTCGGGGCAGAAATTTGATCACACAAACCTCTCAAAGTCCAGGTTCTCACCCCAGCATTCATTAATGACAAATTGGAAACAAGAGTCCAGTGCCCCAAGAGAGTGGCTTGGGGTGGGCGGCTGTGGCTGCCAACAACAGGGTGGAGCTTGGAGCATACCCTCTGCTTGCTGTGCCCGTGAGGGGCTGGGAGTGACACCATGAAGTCACATGCAAGGCGAATAGGGCTCACACAGGCATGAGGCAGGGCTGTCTCCAGCCACCGCTTGGCCTGGGAGGCGCTGTCCCACGCCGTGTTCCCTTCCTTCACCCTGGTGAGGTCCCACTCCAGCCTCCTCTCCTGCCCCTGTCCCTCAGAGCGCTGGCTTCTCTGGAAGTTCCCGAGTGGTTCCAGGGAGGGAGGAGAGGATTTCTGAGTGTGCCCTCAGGACTTCAGCCAGGAGAAGCCAGCCCAGTGTCCAGCCACGTGGAGAGGATGCTGGGCCTGGAGCAGGTGACAGCTGAGACGTCTTCCTGCCAACACCGACAGGCAGACTGTGGGAAACTGTGCTTCCAGCGGGAGCAGCTGCCAGGACACTGTATGGCAGCCGTGTCCTCCAACTCTCTAGACTGCACTGGCGGGAAGACGCTGGAGTCAACAGAGGCGCTGGGGAGGACAGAGGAGAGGGGACACCCCCTGTGCCCTGCAGGCCCAGGCCCTGGCAGTGCCCCAGCTCATCTCAGCAGCCAGCCCTGTTCAGATGGTGCCACTGCCCCAATGTGCAGAGGTGGCCTGTGGTGCCCCAGGTCAGTGACAGGGAGACCAGAAAGCTCAGTGGCAGGGGCTGCTGCCCAGATGGCCGAGTGGCCCTTCCCTGTCCTGACAGCCCGCCCCTCCTGCCAAGGCAGCCTTGGGGCTGAGCGGTGGCACCAGAGATGAATTCACACCCACGGACTTCCCGGAGATTGAACGTGCTCAGGCTCCCAAGGGCGGCTCCTCCTGTGTCTCCGGGTTCAGGACCTCACGTGGGATCACCCTGCATTACGGGTTCAACTGAGCCGGGGCCGCGGTTCCTGTGAGACTGTGAGAGATGGAGGCCGAGGCCACGGTCAGAGCGCTGCAGCCATGGGTGTGGGAGCCTGGAGCCTGGGCTGGGGTGGGCAAGGAGGAGCCTTAGAGGCTGCAGCCAGGCCACAGCTTAAGCAGGGTAAGGTGAGGGCTCAGGGCTGGTGGCTTGAGCTGGTGGCACCTGGGCCTGGTTTGGGGTGATGAGAGTGGGGACAGTGCCCTGGGTGTGGCCAAGGGGCCT